ATCTCATGTACTGTCTGTGCACACCAGCCAGGCAGATCACATGCACTGTCTGTGCACACCAGCCAGGCAGATCACATGTACTGTCTGTGCACACTAGGCAGGCAGATCACATGTACTGTCTGCACACTAGCCAAGGGCAGATCTCATGTACTGTCTGTACACACCAGCCAAGGGCAGATCTCATGTACTGTCTGTGCACACTAGGCAGGCAGATCACATGTACTGTCTGTACACACTAGGCAGTGTTGGATGACAAAGGCACTCCAATTCTGTGAAGAAATGTTTTAATAAATGGTATGTGGTAATTGATATCTACTCTGAAAATAAAGAGGTTTGGTCTATATTTATACCAATTATTTAAAAAAAATGTTAATTTAAAATAAAGAAGACATGAAAGAAAATTATAATGACATTAGAATAAGCAAATATGTGATCAACAAGCTACAAAAAGCTATAGCTATAAGAAAAACCAAAAATATATGCTGGAGCACAGTGGTTAGGAGTTTCCACTCCTGATGAAGAAATGAAGAACGTGTGGACACTCAGAATGTGTGGACAGAAAACAGCTCACACAGACAGGCAAAGAGACCTGTGCCTATAATCCCAACACTCAGAAAACTTAAGCAGAACAATTAACAGGGAAATTTAGGCAGAAGGACTAACAAAAGTTAAGAGACTAGCCTTGTCTACACAGTGAGTTCTCTGTCAGCCTAGGCTACAGTGTGACAACTGTTTCAAAAGAGGAAGAAAAGGGGGTTGGTGAGATGCTTGGCAGGCAGAGGTACAAAAGCTGGAAGACCTAGGCTTGGTCCCTACGGTCCACAAGGTAGCAGGGGAGAATCAACTCCTGACTTGTACCCTGTTAGCGCATGTGTGTGCCGTGGTGTGTGAAAATGTAAAATCTACAGAAAAATGCTATATACAGTATTTTTGCAACTATGTATGGGAAAAGGAAGACGTTACTCAATTAAACAATGGGCAAGATGTGAAGGAGCACTTTACTTTTAAGAAGTGGTGAGGCCGTGGGCAAAGTCATACCCCGTGTCATTAGTCACTGCAGTAAAGCAAGAAAGAATCGTGTGGACTTCTGAACACTTGTGGGAAGCGCTAAACTGAAGGGAGAAAAGAAGACACTGAAACAGCTTGGGTCTGGCCCGGTAACACCAAAGAACAAGAGGTGTGGGAAGAAACAGAAAGCCCAGAGAGAGTGCGGGCCAAATGCTGAAAAGAATGTGAACTTTTACACACTACTGGTGGCATGATAGCTTCTGAGAACCAGAAGAAATATGAAGCTTAATATAAAACACCTGTATATAGCTCAGACACTATATATGCAAAAGACTTGGGCCTCAAATGAACATATATGTGTTGTTTTAATATACATATCTATGAAACATCTATTAATAAAACATGTGTTTTAATTTCACATATCTATGAAATCTGACAATATTAAAGTGTTCATTAGTCAGATAGATTTATTTTAACCATATAAACAGCACAGCCAACTACAGTAATGTTAATAATAGCCATCTCTAAAACATACTAACCATAAGAGAATATAGAATTCCAGTTTCTATAATTCAAAACCAGATAGACCTAACACATGGAATTGCAGGCCAGAACAGTGGTCTCTAGGAACGTTCTGGGCAGTGAATGGCAGGTCGAGAGCAGGTTCTTGGACATTGTCAGGCTTTATCTAGGTACTGAAGGCAGAGTCACACTTCCTTCAGAAATATGCAGAGTGCTATACTCAGGACATGTGCATTTGTCAACTTTGTTACAGTTTGGATAAAGCTTCATTTTAAAAAAATGAGATACAGTTTAAAGTCCTATCACCACAAACACACCCAATCTGATGTGCTATTGGAACCTAGGCAGAGTTGGATCCAGTCAGAACACGGAGAGGAGAAAAAGGAAAGACAAAAAAAACAGGTTTGGTGATACATGTCCACAATCTTAAGCCGCCAAAGCAAAGGAGAATGAGTTTGAGGCCAGCCCGGGCTATGTAGTGATTTATGAGGCAACCTGGGCTACAAAATAAGAATGTCTTTTAAAAGTATTTTAAAAAATAAATAAACAAAACTAGGTTTGTGCAATAACAAAAATGTTTGACAAGCATCTTCATGAATAACTAAAACATCAGTATTTAAGTAAGTACTGTCACGCTGGAAAGACTGCTAAGTGTTTATTTCCCCGTTAGGAATGATTCCCAGCTATCTGTAACTCTACTTCCAAGAGATTTAATGTTCTCTCCTTGGGCACACACACTGTGTACATACATACAGAGAGGCACTCACACATACATATGAAATAAAATAAATAATTCTTTAAAAAATAAACAAGGTGCTATTATGACCCACTAAATAAGACCAGTAATTAAGTATTTATGGAGCCCCTGAGAAGTGTCAAGAATCACATGATCACTGATCATGCACAAAGCAGATGACTCAGACACGGGGGAGGGAGCACACCTGTAACACCAGCACTGGGACAGACGGACACTGAGATGTCAAGTTAGAGACTGTCAGTAGAGGAGACAGGACAGGAGGGAGAGGAGGGGTGAGAGGGAGTGCAGTCTTTACTCTTAACCTCAAAGGAGCAGCTGGTTGAACAGTTTCCTTACAAAGGAAGAAAAGCACGCAGGAGGGAGAGCGAGGAGGAAGCGCCTGCCTGGCCCTAATGTTAAAGAGCAACAGCATCCTCTTCGCAGCCTCGTAAACCATGGAGGTTCCTTCGCAGCCACGTAAACCACGGAGGTTCCTTCGATGAGAAATTTGGCAGCACTACAGAACAAAATGCTTAAAAGTATCCATCTGCTCAATGAATTATTTTAAAATAGGATGTAAGACTAATGTGGTAACTGTATGTTTAAAAAACCTCATGCCTAGAAACATATGGAAATATGTATCAGATGTGTCTTTTAATTCCCTTCTTTAAATGATCTTTAATAAAGCCACTGTGAAAAACAAATCAGCCATGTGTCCCCCAGTACAAGAAGAATGTTAGAGAGTGGGCACTGTTATGTAGCCTTTGGAGTTTTAAAAATATGTGCATTTTCAGAGGCAGGTTTAAAACCAAAGCGAATCCTGTTTAAAAATAAAGCAATAGACCTTTTCATTTATGACAACCTAAATGTTATCCTATAGTTATGAGAAGCATTTTGTACACTGAAATCCCATAAAATAAGATTTTTCTATATGACAGTTTTCAAACTGCCTACTTTCTTCTAGATTTGTTTGGTCATAAAATGCTGAGAAGCAGAGAGGTACAGAAAGGACAGGCTTTCCAGCAATGTCTCTCTAATACGATTTTCTAAGACGCTTGTTGTGGAAGCTCCATTATGAAATCAAAGATGCATTCACTTGAAATGAAACCAGAAGCAACAAGGAAAAAAAGCTTCTGAATGCATTTCCTAAACGAAATCAACAATAACAATAATATTAAAAACACAAGCGGCGTTCTCCTAACATAAAAATAAGCCAGTGTGACAGCCTAGATAAAGAATGTCCCATACTCAAACTCTCCAGGGAATTGGGGGACAAATAAAATCAACTAAGGAACCAAAGAAGCAGAATAAAGAAGTCAAAGCCCAGATGGAGTCAGGAGTGTGCGGCACTCCTGTGCACTGCTCTGAAGGAAGCTGGCCCTGCCATCAGAGGCTTCAATGCACTGGACAGGTAGGAGGGCATCTGGCACTGAAGCGAAGCTTGCCTTGAATAGACTAAGAACACTTGAGGAAGCTAGCATCTGTCAGGTTCCTAGGAAGGTTCTGGAGCAAGGGGAAGGCCAGGGAAGGCACCTCAGAACAAGAGGCCGGACCAAAGCATGGCTACAGGGCTGGATTTTGTATAGGCCCAAAAGGAAAGGCAGCAGCTGTGTCCTGCCCCTGATTCGGAGTGGTCCACACATTAGAAAAGGCTGGAAAGATGGGGTGGGGGTGGGGGAGGGGTGGTAATGGCACAGGGGACTAAAATGACAGAAAGACCCACGTTAGAGGACTTAGTGAAGAGAGCAAAGAAATGTGGCCATGCACACGAGAAGGGATGGAGTCCACTGAGACAAGAGGGGAAGGGAAGACAGAAGATGTCACACACACACACATGCACACACACACACACACACACACACACACCAGTGAAATACTGGATCTCGATTCTGGGAACAAATTCATTTAGAGTGACGGTGTGGTCCAAGGTTTTACCCAAGGACTCAGTGGCTGAGCTGCTGCAGTCATTAGAGTAGAAAAAGGGAAAACAGAGGTGTTCACTAGCAACGCTTTGTGAGAGTGCACAGCATTTCGCTGAACAGACCAGGTAACTGCAAGGTCAGAGAAACAGACTAGATGCCAGAAGACTACAGAAAAAGACAGCAAATAAGGCTTCCAAAGATTTCATTACCAACCCAGTCATTAATGATACTGCTACTGACGTATCTTACAAGCATACTCTTGAAAAAAATCCAAAACACTTAAACATAAACTAAATTACTCATTGACTTATTATGTTAATTTGATGGGAGAACAAATTATTATATATCATTTTTCATTGCAAAATAATTAAAAGCACATCTACCAAAACAGAAAATAATCACCTATAATCATATCACCTTGATATAATAACTATTATTGTAGTAATTTTAGCATAGCTATAATTTATAAATGTATATATTTTACAAATTATAAATTTTCACTAATTGTTTTCCAGTTGGCCATATGCAGTATTAAGCAATATGCATCCTTCCATACAACACTTACCTGACAATTTACTAAGGACATTTTCAAAATGTGTAAATCATCTATTGCCCAGCAAATCGGAGGCTCTGATAAATTATGAAAAATATAAATCAGCATGTAAAGGTTTACATTTCCAAGTTCAACCTGAGAAGTAGATAATTAACAGCACCCAACGTGGAAAAGCCCTCCCGGAAGACTGCAGGGAGAACAGCAGGCTTGTTTTCAGACACACAGTCACACCAGGTCACCGACAAGCCAAAAGATTTACCTGGAAGAAATCTTACAAAACGTGGCATGAAATGAAATCTCGGACAGCAGGGAGGGCTGTCTTCAAACAAAGGACCTACAGAAACAAGGAGAAAGGAAGAAAAGAGAAATCAGACCGACCGCCACAGAAAGCACAGACTGCAACTTAATTCCTAAGATTTATGGTAACCACAAAATAACCAGCACCAGAAGCAGGGACATAAACAGGATCACTTCCCCCACTCTGCCTCAGTAGTGCAATCAATCACCCGCAACTGCCTCAGGTGGCAGCCAGGACTGCAGTGAGGGGCCTACAGCAACTCATGGGGAGAATGAAAGCCAAGGAGGCAATGCATATTAAAAAAAAAATCACTTTATAAATTAAAATATAGCAGCATCTTTGTTAGAACTGAAGTACAAACTGAAGTACGGCATTAGATGGTAACGCCCATACGCTCATTCTGTTGGTTTTCAATCAATACACTGAAAACAAAACGATGCTGCTAGTTCAGGAAAACATTTACCAGTGCACTTGTTTTTTTAAAAGCTTCTCACTCATTTCACTTAAAAATTACCTTCAAAAAGGCTTCCTTCGATATACAGGTATAAAAATAAGCAAATTAAAAAATCTGCTGGAACATGGGCACCTGTAAGACTACATGTTTTACTCTGCCTGTGCATGTAAGTTTTAATGACTAATTGGTTCTCTAATCTCTAATTTGATAAACTGTTATCTTACAAAGTTGATTTCAGTGATTGTCACTATGTTTAAAATATTAACCACTGAGATTTACTGCCTAATATACATAAATCAAGGTAGTTCTATTAGTAGCTAGAATCATCCTTGGCTATCAACAGACAGAGACAAACTTCATGGAGACAATCCCTAGCCACCCATTCATGTTAAATGATAGCAAGCATTCCTACAGATAGCATGCTTTTACTTACATATTTACAAAATAAAACCTTCAACTATGCCCCCACAGCATCATGGGAGTTTTTATATGTACTATGATCTGCATCTTAGAAGAACTTCTCTTTTTGTAAGCCCTATTATTTACCTTTAAGATTCCAGTCATATAACTCCAAAATATCTCTGAATAGGAACAATGAAAAGAGTTCAAGTCCTTTCACACAAAAATTCTGAAAAATAAGCCAAAATCAGATTACTATAGACCTGCGAATATACATTAACTTGTCCTAGTCAAGCATCTCAGAACTGTTTATTGAAACCATACTAAAAGCTTTCCCTACATGGCTTGGCCACTATCCTAAAACGGCTTGCCAAGTCCCAATAAAAATGAAGAAGACAATACTGCCATTAGGATTTCTATAAAAATGTCAATTCAGCCTTTTTAGTGTACAAATAAAATATCCAAAACTTAACGTGTGAGTTCCATCGGGCTTCTCTAATCCAGTTGTAAAATGTGTAAGAATCTCCGGGGAACACTTTGCTAATTAAGGTTACATACACAACTGCAAGCTGACTAGCTTGTCCCCCACTCCCATCCCTCCCTACCCCCACAAGCCAGCAACACTGTTGCCGAGTTACCAAAAAGCACGAGTCCTCTGTACTACAAAAGCTTCAAACTCTTAACAGAGGCTAAGGGCTAAGAAAGACATACAGAATTCTACCGAAATTCCTCCTGCAGACAAGCTGAACAGATGACATATTTGCAAACAGATGACATATTTGCAAGTGAGCTTTGACTGCTAAGTCTTCTGCCTACTTGTTTCGCCCAGGGTTCATAAATCACGCTGAGTGAGATCACATCAGAAGTCATAAAGTTTTACAAGACTAAGCAAGGGCTCATGACCTTAGAGGCAAACAGGAGCAAAACAAGAGTAAAAACTAAAACCTCTCTACCCACAGAAGGAAGGGCCAGCCTCTGCTCTCTGACAGCTATTGACATGCAGGTAGGATGAGCAGGACTAAGGAACTTGGCATGTCTGTCGGGCCACTGGGCCCTCCCCATGGCTCCCTGCCCTTCCCTGTCAGTACTTCCCTGTAAAACAGATCCCAGGAGCCAGCCGAAGGCTCCAGAAATCATCCCCAACGCACCAAGTACACAAGCGTGTTTGCTGTCTCCTTGTTATTTCTTAGTGTGGTTTGTTGACAACACTAAATTCCACACCAGGCAATGAATCATTCTGAGATTCACATTAATCTTACTTCGGAATTTAAAATCCCTTGCATATATTTAGATAAGTCTGCTGTTTAGCATCGGCAATGAAAAACAATTAGGAAAAAAACATGTAAATATGTGGGAAGAGAAATGAACCCAGCACTGATCTTGTCACCGGAGATAATTATTCTGACAGCCCATGGATTCAGTGTCACCATTCCAGTCCTCTGTGACACTGGCCAGTACCCAAACTCTGTCCCCTAAGCAAAACGGAGACCAGATGTACAGTGACTATCAGCAGCTGCAGCACGAGCAGATATGGGTTCAGAAATAGGTCACCGGGTTTAAATTTTTGAACCGTGGCACCAGAGCTACATACATCATGGTGACCCTTCTGACAGGGAACATGGTATTTCAGGGGTCTCGAGTGGCAAAAAGCTGGAGCACACCAACTTCAATCATGGTTTGGTTGTGTTGTTGTTGTTTTTTCTTTTTTAAGAGAGAAATATTATAAAAGCAGAGTAACTACAGGAAGCTGTTAAGCAGCCCTCTCTCTTACCTCAGGCATCATCTCCTCGATAAAATGAATCGTGTAGTCTATGTTGAATCGAATTACTTTACACAGTGGAATCTGCAAGAAGAAGAGCTGTTGAGTTCCCAGCATTTCACTGCAGGCTACCGATGCAGGGTTCGCTGTCTGACCCCGCCCGTGCCCAGGAGCCAAATCAGGCTTTACCTTCACTTAACCTAGAAAAACCTTGGCAAGACGTTACCACAGCTTCTGCTTTCCTCAGTTTTGGTTTATTTGGTTTTTTGTCTGTCTGTTTGTTTGTTTGTTTTTCTTCTGTTTTTTGTTTTTTTGAGATAGGGTCTCACTCTTGGCCCTTGCTGGTCTGGACCTCCTGTGTAGACAACTAGACTAGGCTGGCCTCAAATTCAGAGAAATTTGCAAGCCTCTGTCTCCTGAATGCTGGTATTAAAGACAAGCAATGTGTCACTACATGTCCTAGGCCAAAACTACTCCATATGGCAAGACCCTAGCTCTGATAGACCTTCTACAAGAGAGGGAATAATATTGGTGTTTCACTAATGTGATTAATAAAGCAATACAAACTCGACAAGAACACACCAGAGCCAAACATACCACCCTCTAGAAAAAAATTAGAAAACCAATCGTGGACTGATTTTACCTTAATCCTTCACACAGGTCACGAATGGCAGCACCACAGTTTATCAGTTACATTCATTTAGTTCCTTCCTCAGTTCACAGTGCACGCTGCCTGTCTGGTTCTACGGAAGTCAGTCCGACCAACAGGTATCAAAAAACAACAGGTAGTATTCACTGGGCCGGGAGCTGGTCTAACTTCACCGTGTTTACTCATAGAACTGTCACAGGTGCCCTTAAAGATAGTTTGGGCCCTTATGTACTTGGAGAGAGAAATAAACTAAGAAGGGGAAACATCGGGTAGGTAGGTACCTTGCCTAAAGGAACAGATGGCCGGTAAAGTAGGAATTTTGATTCTAGACCCAACTCTTACTAGGAAAGAGGGCAGACCTCATTACCTATCTGAATACCCAAAGCACGTGAGGAATTGAACACTCAGCACAAACAATCCACAGCTGTCCTCTCCTCCCAGTGTACCATCAAACAGTAGCCTAGTATCTAGACACAAGCAGGTTCCATAAATAGATTTCTCAATGAATAGAAGAATGGGGAAGGGAAGGAAGAGGTTACGGAACTGGCTAACTGGACACAATAATTGAAACCAGAAGCCTTGTAGATGTGTTACACCATCTTTCTGGCTTAGCAATCTGTCCATGAAACAATGTAATCACTTCTACAAACCACAGCTGTCAGAAAGAAACAAACTTGAATTCTCCCAGCAAAAGGGAGAGAAAGAATATAGAAAAATAGGCTTACAATGCCATCTACTGGGAAGAAATTGTAGCTTTTAGATATTTTTTCTTCTTTTTTTCTTTAATACAGTAGTTGATATTTCTAACTTTTGTTATAGTTTATGGGATTCATTTTCAACATTCTGGATTTGTGTACTCAGTCCTCAGATAACTGCAATATATTTAATACACTATTGCTTTTTCAATCTACTTTAACCACATAGACATTTAAAATAGTTGACAGTTACAAATTGGTACACGATTTAACCTGGTTTTAAAATATCTACTCTTTACTAACATCTATATAAGGCTCATGCTTAAGAATGAGCCACAGGCCCTGTCTTGAAAAGCAAAGATCTAGACAGAGTCCAATAACTTGGACCCATGAAGTCCATAACTGCTCCAACCCTAAAGCTCCTGAGAAGGGTGGACCAGGAGGATGGTGAATTCCAAGGCAAATGTAAACAAGTACAAAGAGAATATGATACATTGTAAATGCAATAAAAACAAGCACATGAAAAAGCATAAAAGGTACAGGTAACATTTGGGTTGCTTTATAAGACCAGTGGGAAGCCAGGCAAAACTCTCTAATACCAGCACTTGGGGGTAAATGCAGGACAGCTGCGAAGCTGAGGCCAGCCTAGTCTACATCATAGATTCTATGTCAGCCAAAGAAATACAGCAAGAATCTGCTCAAAAAGAACGGGGAAAAGCGAAGAAAAGAAAACAAGGGGACATAGAAACATACAGGTGAAGAGGGCAGGTATTGGAACAGAGAAAAGGGACCGATGAAGTCCCTTAGCTCTTCAGAAAGCAGAGTGCACACAGAGCGAAGCCAGACACTGCTGAGGAGGAACGAAGTCAATGCTGTCCTTGTGAGGGAAAGGGTCTACTGCTACATCCCAATCTCTTTCAAGTACATTCTTATAGGAGATTATCACAGTTTACACTTTAGATGATCACAAAAACAAAAAAAACAAAAAAACAAAACAAAAAAAAAAAACAACAACAAAATCCTGTGGGAATGACTTGGAAAGATTGCAAGGCTCAGAGGACCAGGCTATAGTCTAATACAGAGAATAAGGGATGACTGGAATGGAGGCAAGTTTCCAAGACAGCTAGAGGGCTTTACTGACTTATACACTGGCCGTTCTGTCATGAGGAAGAACTGAGCACAAATACTGGATCCCTGGGCTTTTGTCACCTGAGTTCACGATGCAAATGCAGAAATCCATAATCGTCCTCGGTAACTCAAACCCAACACCCAGAGAAGATGAAAGTTAGGTCTCACAAAGGTTGAGTACCTATCCTGGCTAGTTTCATGTCAACCGCAAGCTAGAGTCATTTGGGAAGAGGTCTCTCAAATGAGAAAATATTTCCATAAGATTTGACTATAGCCAAGTCTACAATATAATTTCTTGATTGACTGACTGACTAATGCGAGAGGGCCTAGCTCACTGTGGGTGAGGCTACAACTGGGCTGGTGGTGCTATAAGAAACCATGAGGGGCAATCCAGTGAGCAGGGCTCCTCCGCAGCCCCTGTGTCAGTTCCTGCTTGGGTTCCTGCTCTTCCTGACTTCCCGGGATGACGGACTACAAGCTACGGAGTAAAACAAACCCTTTCCTACTCAAGTGGCTTTCGGTCATGGTGCCTTGTCACAGCAATAGAAACTCTAACTGAAGTGACACCAGAGGGGACATGACAGACACGCGTCAACAGACAATCTAAAGACAGAGCCAGGGCAAAGCCACTCGCGACAGCTGTAGAGCATCAGGAGAAAGGACCTAAATAAAGCGCATGGGTGGAGGTGAATCATTCAGCAAGAGCGTACACAGGAGGGAAAACTGAGCTCAGTGACTAGAGGCAAGCAGAGAAGAGCAGCCATCTTTCCTTCTTCCTGGCAGGAGCAACCAGCCCTCCCTGGAAGGGCTGCAGGGCGATGTCATCCCCCTGCAGCAAAACTCACTTGCTGGACTTTGTTCTCTGATCCAGTCTCAGGACACGCTTCCATCCATACCTCCAGGGCCCTTCTGCGAGGCACAGAGCTGGAAAGGCCTCCCTCCTCACCAGCTCACATGCTCATCTCTGTCAGAGACTCAAAGAGAACCTGGCCTCTCTATACACATCACTCAACCATCGCAGCTCCCATCAACCCACAAAATAACATGAACGCTTAGCAAGCACAGCATATCACATATGCTGATACTAATTCCTGACCCAAAATAGCAAAACTAGTTGGTTAGTAACCATCCTCACCTACCCATACATTCAAGGCCCTATTTCTTCTAGACAGCGAATGACCAAGTCAATAGTGATCAGAAAAATGGAAAACCAACCAAGTTCCTGATCATGGAAATGACCATAGGGTTTCCTTGTGCATAGGACAGTATTACATGATGTTGTACAATCAATATACTTTTTCAGACTTTACATCGTCAAAGCCACCAACAATATCAGGCATTGTAAGTATAACTACACAACAGGATAAAATCCTTCCAGAAGGCTACACACTTAAGACAGCTTTTAATCCACTTTACTTCAAGACCTTAAGCCTAGCTGCCAGAGCTAGCTCAGGTCAAGAGTCTATGGGACCATAAGCTGTAGGCCCCTCCCACTGATGGGCTCGGTCTGAGAAATGATTCAGCTCAATAGTGGACTTTAAGAAGCTTTTTGTGTGGGCATCTATCTCAAATTCAAGAGCTCTTTGATGGCTCTAGGTCCTATGGACTTTAGAGTGCTCAATTCAAAACTTTATTATCATTGTCAACATCACTCAAAAAAAAAAATGATAGGGCTCTTTATCATGAACTGAAGTCCTCAAGTTTATTTTTTTTTCCTTAAATTCAGTATTTATATAAATATATGCTGAGGTAAGGAACTCTGTTGCTTTGGTTTTAGTTTCATGTCTTACATAACACAATAAAAATTGAGTAATTTAGTATAACTGCCTCTCAGCGTCAAGCCTTGTGCTGGGAAACTTTAAAAAAATTAACTTTAAAGAAAAAATCATTCCTTGTACTCACTCTTTCTGTGACACTAAGACGGCTCTAGAAAAGCAAATACAGAGTTCAAGGCCAATCTGAACTGCACAGTAAGATCCCGTCTCACAATAAAAACTCTATTTTAAACATAAGTCAGGGGCTGGAAGGGTGGCTCAGCGGTTGCTAGTACTTACTGCTCTCAGAGGAGGCCTGAGACTGAGTCCCAGCACCCATGTCTGGCAGCTCACAGCCTCTTGTACGTCCATCTCAGGTGATCAGACACGTCGAGCCTCTATGAGTACCTGCACGCCTATGCACATACCCACACACAGATGCACACAGATGCACACAGATGTATAGTGAAAATCAAATATAAGTCTTTCTTTGGAAAAAAGAAAAAAAGGCCTGATTTTAACTATAAACCCTAAGCATAGCTATCATTTATTAAGCACAAAGAATCACTAGTCAAGTAAAGAAAACAAAAAAACAAAAAAGAATTAAAAGGTTCAAACACATCTGTCTGCTATCTTTCCCAACATGAGAGGTACCAGTATTTATTATGCACCAAGCACCATGATACCACAATGAACACTTGCCATGTGCCACTGCGTTTATCCTTCACAAAAACGGGCAGCCAAGCAAGTAGTACCCTATGTTACAGACGACGATACCAGAGAACGCAGACTTGATGGTGCCAGCCCACAGAGCTAGTGGAGCTCACTACCACGGGCTCACTCAGACAAAACTAGTATCTACAAAGCCACACTGTTTTTAAGGTGACCCTAAAGTCAAAGTAAAATCTATAGAGAATTAAAAGATGATAGATAAGCTTAGATATTCTCAAGCCAACAAAACTGGCACTTGCAAGTGGAGGTGAGTTGACTACGAGAACTTCTAAAAGCCATTAAGACTCTAAGACTAAAATTTGGTGAAGGATTTAATTGTCTGAGAGACATAAATACAGCAAAAAAAGCAATGAAATTCTAAAGCTTCTCTAGCATCTTCTATGATATGAAAGCAAAGAGGAAATATGGGGGAAAGGTCAAAGTGGGGAGCATTAGCAAGTAAAAATGTTGCGTATGTGCTGATACTAAGGACCTAGGTTCAGAGAGAGAGAGAGAGAGAGAGAGAGATTCATTTCACTGATAGATAGACAGACAGACAGACAGACAGACAGACATAGAGATGTACACATGGCATGAAGACAGAAGAAAACTACCTAGGGGGAAGAGAAAGGAATTAACAACGGGAAGGGAGGGACGGATAAGGAGTACTACAATATGTGTGTATGAAAATATTATAAGGAAGCCTATGATTTTATATATTTATGATGATCTTCTGAAAGAAAATTCTCAAAAATAAAACCAGATATGGTTATGCATGCCTGTACTCTGCGCACTCAAGAGACTAAGGTGAGAAGATCCAATTGCCACGTGCCATTGCATTTATCCTTCATAAAAATGGGTAGCCTGGGCTATTCAACAAATGCCAGGCCAGCTTGGGCTACTTAGTAAGATCTTATCTCAAAAATACAAAAAGTGAAAAAAAAAAAAAAACCCTGTAGAATGATATAATGTAGAATAAGAAAAATAAGAAAGCACTGTTTTAAGTTAGTGTCACCACCTAGAATTACTTCTACTTAATAAAGTTAAAAAGGATGACAGAAGCAAGGTAACAACAAGATTTGAGACTCAGCCTCCAGTGGAAAAGTTGACGTTCCAAGTAAGTGTAGTAAAGTGATGTTCTGACTGCAGGCAAGCAACACAGTGAAACGCAAACTCACTAGGGCCCACGGGACACTCGGCCTAGGTAAAGTACTGCCGCGCTCTTCCCAACGCTACTACAGCATTCACCGACCAACCTGAACACCAGAGGAGCAACCCAATTACCAAGGCTGCCAACTTCAAAACGGGAGGATTCTGATGCCGACACAGAGCACCCATGCAGACTGATGCCCAGAAAAGCATCCCTCATGACCAGATAAACATCACAAGTCCTTGTGTCAGTCCAAGTCTCTGAACACAGAACTCAAAAGCAGAAACCCGGTGAGGTCACTCTGGGCTCAGGGTCCTGAACAGGTCCTGTTTCTCCTTCCTTTGCTCAGGGACGTCTGTTACCTTTCTTTCAAACTTCAGCTTTGAAGGACAAGAACCCCAAAATAGTTCATCACATCACCCCACAGTTTATCCTCCTTTTCAACATTTCACAGTCTCAGAATGTTACTCTAACACGTTCACTTACACCGTTTAATGCGGCCCAAACCCGTGGCTCATTAGCAGGCTCACAGGCCTGCCTGAGACAGGGCTGCAGCCGCCCTGTACCTCACAGAATAAGTGTCATGAACACAGAAAGGGGATTTATTTTGATTTGTGGAAAGGAAAGATAAAGACAAGGAGACAGGGCAGGTCTGAGGAAGGAGACAGGAGCCAATACTTACATTGGTCAGAGGGGCATGTGCAAACATAGAAAATCCTTCAAAGATATACTCATGGTCATCGTATTCTATGACTGTTGGCCTGTCGGTCTAGAAGTAAACAAAAGCACGAAACAGGACTTAAATTAGTATCATTTGCAAGTGCAGGAATCCACCCAGACACAAACTAACTCAAGGCAGAAACAAAAGCAACTTTGTAGGGTTAAATTTTCTTAAATGTCAGGAAATATACACTAAAAATTAATCTGATATGGAATTCTGTGGCTTCGGGTGTTATGTATCACACTATATATTTAAATAACCAATAATGCTTATTATGTACGCCATCAAGAAAACTGAAGGCTGTACGTAGCTTCCTTTTCTAGAAGCTTGTTCTCTTTAATCCCACAACACTGCTGCTTCTACTTCCCTGACCTGTATTTTGGAACAAACAGGCTGCCAGCGCCAGAGCTGAGCCCAGAAACAACCTAGGGAGGATGCTGAGGGGATGGAAACGTCAGAAGCTCAACCCCACAGCTGCACCATCCCTAAGGAGAAGACAACCCACCAAACCCTGCAGTAGAGTGGGGCCCAGGCTTCAATTACCTGGAACCACAATCTATGATTACATGATCAAAATGTCAATCTCAGCACAACAGACTCTCTTCCTCATAAGTCATTCTCAATAGCCAATCCTTTTGATATTAAATGCCAAACGTGGAGCAAATTATAAAGACTGGCAGCCTAAAAGATACTCGTTACCTAGATACCAAACATCATTATTTCACAAATTACCTAGATGAGAACCGGGAAGAATTAAAGAGTATGTATATACATGTATTTTCTTTTGTCAATGTAACTGTCACTTTCTATTTGAGTGACCCAATAAGACTAAATTAAACGTAATGAGAAGATTCTGAAGAACAAGAATTAATAATGAGCGGTACAATCACTCTGACAGGCTGTTCCTTGGAGCATTAAACACAGTTAGCATATACATCAACAATCTCAGTCCTAAGCATATACCCAAAAGGTATCAAAACATATTGACACAAATGCTGTTTAATAAAATATAATTGAAATATAATTATCCCCCCCTTCCCTGTCCCCCAACCCCTCCTTCTTCCTAGTTTACTTTATTTTATTTCATGTGTATCTCTGTATACCATGTGTATGCTTGGTGTCCAGAGAAGCTAGAAAAGGGAATCAGGTGCCCTAGAGCTGCAGTTACAGATGGCTGTGAGCTGCCATGTGGGTGCCGGGATCCAAAAGTGGTCTTCTGGAAGAGTAGCTAGTGCCCTCAACTGCTGGGTCATCTCCTCAGCCCCACACACATACTCCGGTCAGCACTATTCACAATGAAAACAATCCAAAGCCAAAGCCCACCAACTGAACGAATGGATAAATGAAACATATTGTAATCATACAACACACACACACAGTATTACCTGACCATAAAAAAATACAACCCACTATAAAGGATTCAGGTTGCATACCTCTCTGCAGAGTAGTTGTGTAGTATACAAGAGACTCTGAGTTCAATAAAAGGAAGAAAGAGCAACACAAGAAGGAGAGGGGAGGGGAGGGAAAACTGACAACACAGGCAAATCTTAAAAACAAAACAAAAAGCAACAACAACAACAACAATAACAAAACCTCTAAGTAAAAGAAACAAAGCAGAAAAAGCAGCTTCTATATGGCCCCTAGGAAAAGTACAGGCTAGACACAGACACATGCCACCTCAAGGATATAAAGTTTCTTTTAGGATAGATGTTCTAAAGTTAGACTGCGGTGGTTTTACAAGTCTGTAATTATGCTAAGCATCATGAATTACACACTTGAAATGGGTAAAACTGATGACATAAGAAGTCTAGCTCAATAAACTTATTAAAATATGTAATCATGAATAATCTTGAAATCAAGACTTTTCAGTGCATGTAACTAAAAAGTAATAAATTTCATAATATGAGAGGCAATGAAACTGAGCATAACATATAAACATGCAGCCTGGTGCGGACTCCCTGGCTTCTAAAAACCACCATACACAGTACCTAAGCTACCACTGCTTACCTTACCTTCTTCATTTATAAAATATGAACTAATGCCCCGAGCGGGTAATACGAGTAACATACACATAGATGTGTATTGTGAAAGTTAGTTAACTATGTCCTCCAGTTAGAATGATGCCAGGACATAGTACATGTGCATTCTAACCATATTACTGTACCGTCACATCATACAATGGATCTTCTGATTTGGTCACAAGACAGTAAGTTGGCCGATGACTTTTAAAACCTGTGGGAATGTCCGACTTGACTCTTCCCACGACAGTGCTCCAATGAACAGCGGCATAATTCACTGGCTGCTATACATTTGGTTATTGCACGGTAACAATACATATGAAAAAGGCATAATAAGATGGAGGAAAGCTGAAATAAACATTAGCATGATAAACTAAATTTTATCAGCATAATGATCTTAAAAATAAAAACGATGTAAGAACTGAATCAGAAGCTAGTGTGATGGCTCATCCCAATAATCCCGGCACTGCAGAGACAAGGCAGGAGAAATTCTGTAAGTTAGAGAGCAGCCTGGGCTACATAGCTAAGTTCCAGGCCATCCTAGGCTAGACTACAATTCATTAGTAACTTACTAAAAAGTTGGTAGGCGGGGAGACGGTAATCCGGTAGTGGAAAAGTCGTCCAGCGTTGTTGGTCATAGGACGGCAGGGCTTGATTGCCTGGAGGGGGTGGAGATGAAAATGTTTAACAAATTAAGTAGAAAATCATTTTCTTGTAAAACAGACTATACTGTCAGCTTCACATCTGACTACTGCTTTCATGTGTCTTCCTTAACAGACTAGTAGGAAAAAGCACTACTTGCTTTACTCGGTATTAACTAAATGAATACAAAGATATGGCTGGTCACCGCTTCTCTATTTTCCCATATGCGGTGGTGAAGTGGCTCCAGACTGACCTGTGATCAGTAAGTGTGATCAGTAAGACCAGAGTGTCCATGGGCCTCGTGTCCCCCATCAAATACATGATCTCAGTGAGTCAGTATCTGTCATCAGTTGAGTACTTAGGGGACATAGCTAGACCAGTAGTGCATACAATGGGACCTGTTGTTGGTATAATCTGGTTCTATTCAGTACAAATAGGTAAGCAAGTGATTTCAGCATGCAGGAAGGCTTTGAAGAATTCATGAGGCTTGCCATCCAGGAGCCCATCTGGGAGCTCCACTGGACACAACTACTAGGAGGGACTGCCCTATCTCTGCAAACAGCTGCACTGGGTGTCTACATAAAGGGATCAGTCTGCAAAACAGGCATCCAATAGTCCAAAGTAGATGGACTATTGTTGTAAATTCTTTACTGGATTCTTAGCCCTTTCCAGGGTAATAAGGCCCTGAGGAGCCTCCTTAACTCTAGAAGCTATGCTATAAGATCCACAGAATGGTTAGCCAGTAGTGGGGTACCCTTTATAAACAACTGTAAAACATCTGACCCCGGGATGACCCGATGACGGTTTTCCCAGTGTGCTCTTGTTCCGTGGAGATAACACTTGCAAACATCCCCTGGGACGTGCCTGAATGTGTTAGTGGTCCTCTTCCTTCCTCACTTTTAAGAGCTTAATGTGACAAGCCCAGCGCTAAGGTGCAGTCCACACCAGGCCATGAACAGCTCCTGGAGCAGAGCATAGGAACACCGAGTGTACGACTTCCAGGGAGAACCTCATTTAGAGGAACGTTCTCACCACGGTTGCAGTCGGCCACCAGCTGTGGCACTTCTTGAGTTGCAGACTGTACCTTTTCAGTACAAATGTAACTGCGCCCACCTCGGGCACTCCTCTTTGTGGACTCAGTGGTGTCTAAGGTGAATGCTTTTTCATCTGAGCCAACTGTGTGTGTGGCAGCTGATTCCTTAACCAAGTCCTAAGTGGTGAATAACAATGCCTTACTCCGCATAAACACTAGAATCACAGGGCTCCTGATCAGTCCAGCAGAGCCATGTGATGCGGTTCTGAGGGGAGCCTCATAGACCTGAGTATACTGTTAGGTTGTGTTTGTACCTAACGGATGGAGTCTGCACGCGTGCGTGCGTGCATACACTAGGCCTGTGCTGCACTGCAATAGCTGTGGCACGGTGAGTACTGCACCCACAGCCCCAGGCAGGAATTGCAGTGGGTGGCACTCTCTGTGAAAGGCCATGCTCTCAGCAGGAGTGAGTATGGGTGAGGTTTAATGATTCTGTGGGCTTCAGATACTTGGCACCCACTGACAACGACTCTCTGCAGGCAAACTTTTCCTTAGTCTTCTTGTTCAGTGGCATCATGATACCAAGCCCTTCGAGAACCAGCAGCACTCCTACACAGCAGGAAGTACAGGCATACTGTCACTTTGCAAAACAGAGAGGCTCACTTCCCACCGGACAACAGCATCCAGACCATCCTCCATTGAATCACCCACGGCAGAGGGGCCCTAAAATGATGCGCTAAAGAATCATTTTGCCATTTTATGCCTGTTAGCAATTTCCATAGAAGAGACAGAAAGTACATGCAGAAAACTGACACTGGTCAAAAAGCAGAACAAAGCCACCACAGCAACTGTGAAGCGGTCCGAATTCCCCAACCAGAGCCGGTCACCACTCACTCTCCTGATCCTCCCACAGAAGTTAGGGTGATGACTTGTTTCTAAGAATCGTGCCTTCATCTCCAACTATCAGGACTCTTGGATAGTCCCAGTTCATCTGCATCCCTGAGCAGTGAGCTGTTTCCCCTTCAGTTCAACTCCTATCACTGAGCCTCAGGCACCGCTCAGTGCGGTTTCTCCTGGTAGCACTTCCATAAAACACAGCGCCAAAGTGAGTCACACACAGCCCTGGGACAAATGACTGACTGACTGACCAGAAGGGTCCCTAACATGAATCTGTTCTTGAAATCTGGGACATCAGTCCTGCTTTCTTGTACCTAAGGCAGTTAGTTACCAGGTGTCTTTCTTTAAGAAGGTTTAAGCTCTTTGAAATAACTGTGCAGAGAGGTTTCAGAAGGCTGCACTTGTTGCTAAGTGGTGGTGGTGGTGGTGGTGGTGGTGGTGGGGTCCTCATGGAACTCCAGACCTGAGTTGTATCAGACCAACCTTGCATCTGGGACAGGTCAGCTCTGTTTCCGGAGAAGCTAACATACAGCAGAGTATGAAGAATAAGTAGGGTGAGGACACTGGAACAAAGATGGCATTCAGAGCTGAGACACTGTCCCCCATCGACAGTGGTAAGCGCGGTACACGAGCCCTGGTATCGGGCGGCCACACAAATCCCATTTTCAGACTCTGACAACTGGGCACCACTGGAAGAGCTAGTACAACATGCCAAATACTTAGGACTACAGAGCAAAAACTAAGGATCGATGGCTGTGGTGGCAGCACACGCCTTTAATCCCAACACTGGAGAGGCAGAGGGTAGATCTGTGTATTCAAAGCCATCCTGATCTACAGAGAGTCCCAGGATAGCCAGGGCTATACTGACAAATCCTGTCTTGAAAAACCAAAACAATTTTTAAAAATTTTAAAATTTAAAAATAGGGGGAGATGGGATAATGGATTTTAGACATGGATGGCAGGGGTTAAATAAATACCATCTTCCCTACCGAGCTCTTCAATCCTTAGTGTGGCATGAAATCCCCCGCAGGGCTTATTAAATCTCAGCATATTTTCCCTGGCAGCTGGTGGGGCTGACAGTATACATTTCCAACAAGCCCCTGATTAGGCTGACACTAATCTGAAGTTCACAGAAAAAACTATTGCTCCACAGAAATGTAACAACAGAGGACAACAGTGGCAAGTAAAAGCCAGATGTGAATGCCAGAGGGCCTCTTGAAGACACAGAATTTCCCATCACCTGCAGTGAGACATCAGAAAAAGCCAGCAAGCCAGAGCGTACCTCTAAAACAGCCATAACTCAAGGACAATTGACAGCCAACCAAGGGAGGTCTGTTATGTCAGGCCCTGGAAACCTGGGTCAGGGACATTTAGATTTAAGTCCCCAGACTCCTCTGAATCTCCTGACTCTGTAAAGAAGGCATGTCCCGCCCTGTTTAGATCACTCACCTATACCAAGAGACAAGGAAGATCCTGTCAGACAGCAGTGCCCACCATACCTCACCCCACACATAATATCCAACCAATCAGGCTCCTTGCCATCAGACTTACAGTGAGAGTTATTTCACGGCATAACCCAGTTGTATAGGTGTCTGGAAGAAGGATGTACTTCCCAAGGGAGCTATAAGACATAACCAGCATATCCCAGCAGCCATAGGAGTCTGTCAAGGGCCAGATGGGGAGAATGTCTCAGGTTAAAGAAGAATTTATTGACTTGCGAGAACTCAGGATCCTGAGTTTCCTTCAAGGGCAGGTTTAAAAAGCAATGGCACAGCTAGGAGATGCTGAAATTCCTAAGTGTTCAACCAAACACTGGGAGAAAGACATAGGTATTCTGGGACAGAGGTAGGACCGACAACTAGCAAATGTTCAGGTAATCCCCAAAGGACACGCAAAGACAAATGTGCCAGGGAGGAGGACCGCACCACCAAGACTAGTGGTGGTGTCCTCTGTCAGTCGGGACAGACCAGGAACAAGTAGTCGGAGTCTGTCAAGAGCAACAGGGATGACAGAACCTGGAAACTAAGGCAAAAGAAGCCACAACACATTATCATTATAACTAGTAAAATCAGAGTACCAGCCAAGGGGGTCTACACCATGGACACAGTTAACAGAGCATGCAGTCGCTGGGTACAAAATACATGCACAATCAACAGGAGTGGTGAGCAGCTCGGACGAGCGGAAGAATTACAGAATAACCAAGTGGCTGAAGGCGAGCTACTCCCCTCAACCGTCATACTCTCCCGAGCAGCATAAGCTGCATCAAGATTTTCAGACTGAAATCCATTGGCTGAAAAAGGAATCTGGCTCCGGATGAAAAGATCCTGTATATTGTAATGACCAGAACTGGTGGTGAGCACCCTAGCTTTCCTAACAGGTCCTAAAGCTATTTCCTTGAGACTGTACAAAGTGGGAAAGAGATATCCAGACAGTTCAATGAGTATTGGCCACAGTAGCCAAATAATCATTGGTAGCATACAGACTGGTGTTATCCTTGCACCTAGTAAGAGTAGACAGTATAATGGAATGTTGGCCAATTCCAGTTTAGTAAGTCGACCTCAGGTCTACAGAGCACTCATTCCTCTGTCCTCATTGGAACTGACGTATCTTGGCATATGAAACTATCCCTCATTGGTTCCTAATGTGGAAGGAGAGAAACCATAATAGCATGACCAGGAAAAACCTACTTAAATTACCACCACCACTCCTCCAACCCAAGTACCACAGACAATACTGCATTACAAGGAAAACGGAGATCCATGCCATCCTTCAGACTCACAGAAGTGCTGGTACTGTTGAATCCACCAGTGTAGACCCTAAAGGATCCTGGAGGGTGACAGGAAGCTACCATAATCTCTCCCAAGCAGCAGCTCTGATGGCAGTTGCTGTGCCAAAAACTGTAGCTCAATGAGACCGTGACCAAACTCCACGGCAACTCATCCAGTCAATGTGTTTGTCTCCATCCCAATCAGAAATGAGGACTGGAATTTCTCACTATATTATATCTCCAACATAATATTTATAGAGGTCCCAACTGTGTAGACTTACTACAGACCAAACTGCCCCATTATCTCCGTGGTATTACTTTTTTCACGCTAGAAACCTTAATAAAGCCGTATGTACTACAGAGGATCAGAGAAAAACCGCACAAAGGTTCAAGGACCTACCACATCCAACAGTATTCTCAAGTCCAGTTATCCTAGGAACCACCAGGACATCATCTACAGAGTAAAAGATACTTATTCTACCACCCCTTCCTACAATGAAGAAAGAACCACATCTGGAATTCCTCTACAGGTTCATAGGACAGCAAAACCCACACCCAACAAGACTGCTCTGGCCATCACATGGTGGCACAAAAGGCTACAGTATCAAGTGGGGCCCAAGTAAGATCTCTTAGCGAGTCCATTTTACGGACAAGCACTCCTGTCGCTGTGACGCAGCCAGTCAACAGATCCTATGGCAAAGTCAGGAAAAGGGGCCAAGAGGAATCCATGACAGATCACACTGGCAAGTCACAAGGCTGGTCCCTGGACCTAGGCCTGGTCATCTTTAATAAAGAATTACATGCCTTGGGAGTGGGTGTGAGGGACGGAAAGGTAGGGTATCTCATCAGTATGGAAGGCCTGGGTTTAGGACACCGAATTAATGTGTCCAGACCTGCCCATCACAAGCGGGATTTTGTCAATCCCAACAAGCAATTAAGGTGAACGGCACAGGCAGCAATCCATCCTAAAGGAAGGTGGCACATACAGAATCAAACACAACAGGACAGATGGGCTAATGGGCAGATGGCCCACATCCCTAGTGGCTCCAACACTGTGGCATCAGCATCCCTCCCTCCTCAGCTGATGACTAAGGACATTATGATGACAGTGGAGGGGAAAGCTCAGGCATGGTTTACAAACAAAACCTGACTGCACTACAGTCCTTCTCTGGATGACTTTCAAAGACACCAATGGGGACATCTGTGCAGTGAATGGTTCCAGCAGTGTCTCTGATCAGGTACCCTGAATGGAAAAAGAAGTAGCCTCAAGTGCCCACAAGGAAAAAGACCAAAAGACCAAGAATGAAAAGGTCTTGGGAGAGATCTGTAACTGGGCAAGTGGGAGGAGTGTAATGACTTCGTCATCAGCGTGGTGACCATCAGGGGACAGCTACTCTGGAGGTAGCACAGGAGTACCAGACAAAATGATAGGGCAATCATGTCTGCCCCCACCCATCCCAGAACTGCCAGGGTGGGCACTTGAGTAACATGAGCACAGTGACTAGATAGCCACTTCACATGACTGTGACGTGCACAGCACAGGCCCTACTTAACAAGACTAAACAGCCACGCTAACTTCATGCTAGTGACCATCTATTCAAATGGCTAGCTACCACTGGTACCATCCCTTGAGAACAATCTAGTATCGGTATCAAGCTGACTACCTAGGCCCCTTCTACCTGTACAAGAGCCAACAAAAAGAGTATAGCCCACAGGCAGACAGCTGAGACACTGGCCATTCAGGCTCCCACCCAGGAAAAGCCTACTACAACCCAGCTATAGGAAATGTAGTCAGCCTGCAGGCTGCAGCTGCTGGTCCACAGGGTGGCTCCTATGAGGCCATCCTCAGCTACCAAGTACCCTCTTCCAAGCCTCCTGACAAAGGCTGCTCTGCAGACCAGGGGACATGAAGGGATGCAGGCCATTCCAGTCACACAAAAGGACATTCTGCTAAGCTGGCTCGATGAGACCCACAGAGCAGCTGAACCACCCCTTTACTCTTGTCCCGCTTCTTCTCAGATGCAGATCCCTAACAAGAGGTCAGAGCATCCAACCTGAGGCACAGGAACAGATGTCCACAGATAAAACCTTGTCAAACTCCTTCCTACATTGCCTTGACCTTCAGAGTTCACTAAGTCATTAAAACTACCAGGAAGTCTTACAGCTTTATTAGCCCCTCAAACAAACTCTAAATAGAAATTAAGGACTTGCTGTGGAATCATAAGATGGTAATCATGGGATTAACGAAAATAACTTACAAAACCAACAGGTAGTGAGAAAAAAAAAATTCACAGGAAACTAATCTAAAGGGAGTAGTTACAAGTGACGACAGTAGGACTATGTCCTTCAGTCAAGCCTAAAATGTCAGAGAAGCCAGGGCTGGGTTATCCAGTTAATGGGAACTCACAGTTGGTAGAGACAAAGACTTTGACCAGTACTACAGTGAAGATAAAGACTACAGTAGGTCCGAAGCAGGGTAGCTCCCAGGGAAAGAGAACATGCGCCTCACAGCTTCAATGGGAACACGTCCCTGGGGCAGTTCATAACCACTTCTGATGAACACCAGAAACTAATACCACAGTGAGGACAGTCTGAGGACTTAATGATAGCACATATAACACACATGAGCCTTCCACACGCTTTAGTTTCCTTGACAACACACTGTAGACTACTCAAAGTCCAAATATTTCTTCTCTATAAATGTCAGCAACAGAGTCTATAACAGGGAACGTGAAAAGGGTATTTTGATGACGTTATTCCGTTTAATGGAAAAGAAAAACAATGGCATCTGACTACTTCTGACTCCTTGGTGCTTATATAAATCAGAAGCCAAGCCAGTTACCTCTTCTCCGGGATAAATGCTGTGCCGAATTCCTGTGCGTCTTGCTTTTGCACTGCATTTGCAAAGCGGTCCATCGTTCATCTGTCAGAAACAGAATGCAGTCAGTGTTACTGGGGGGAAATCCACGCCAGGCACCAGGATGCCTTAGAAACCATGAGCTTTAATGACAGGAGTACTGAGGCTCTGACGAGGCTGTCTGATTAGAAGATTAAACGGATGTTCCAAAACCAATAAAGCTGCCAACTGTCTATAAAGTCTGATAAAAGGAAACTGGGACAACCTAGGAATCTCAAGTCATGTGTACAGCCAAGCAGGAAACACCAATCAATGTCAGCACACTGTCTGTCCCATTGTCTCCTTCCTCTCTGCAGGACCCTCTTCTCTCTCTTATTTCAGAAAAAAATGATGTCACACACATAGAAACAGATGTATTTCATATCCTAAACAATACGGTGTAACAACTACTGACAGGGTGCTATATTATATTAGGTATTATATGTAATCTTGAGATTTAAGGCATAAAAGAGGTGGGTGTCACTCACATGTAAATACTACAATTTATTCAGAAGACTCTACATCTGTGGATTTTGGTATCTGTGCAGATCCTGGAATCAATCTCCTTAGACACCGAGGAATGACAATATACTGACACATTTTTTAAGTACTAGGGATTTATAATTCATTGTGCTCAATTAAAATATAAATGAAAATATCTCTATAAGACTTTGGCAAGAAATAGTACAGTGAAAAACTTAAATTCTTTTTAGCCTTTTGGGAAATCTAAAGCTCCAGGAAGTAAAGCAGAAAAATAACATTACTACCTAAAAAATAGTGTTAGGATATTATGAAGTAACAGCTGGCAAATAAGAGGCTTAATAACTTTTCATCAAAAATCCTAACATACTCTGAGTGCTAGTCACAGCTTCCAGGGGAGCAGACAAACGGCCACGTTCCTGCCTCCACCAGCATCCGTGCTCCCATATGGACACCTTCACAAGGCTCAAGTACACTGAGGACAGGAAACCACGCACAATATATAACGGTGTAGCAACAACGTAGGCCTAGGTAGGCTGAACAGAACAGTAACACACACATCCACACAAACACACACGCACACATACAAACACATGAACACACACACACACAAGGCAAGGCTGACACTTCCTAACTGACAACCGCCACCAGTGAAAAGGACCAGGTACACGGGTATGGAGAAAGATTTCTTTTCGGACAGAAAAAAAAAAAGTTCTAAAACTTGTAGTGCTGGTACACAGTCCTGAAGAATATACAGAAAATGGCAGTGGATTATAAACGTCTATGTAAGTCCTGTGACATGTAACGCCTTCATCTGAATGAAAAGGAAAGCAGTAAGTATGGTCACATCTGTTTAGAATGCCGGCACTCCAGAAGCCGAGGCAGAAAAAGTCACAGGTTCAAGGTCAACCTGGAGAGTTAATTTAAAATACAATTTAAAATACACTGAAAACTTTGCAAAGGTTTCTACTCAATTCCAAGGCATCAAAAAGTACATTGTTCTCAGTCATTTCAATTGTTTTAATCCTTTTCAAACAAACAAACAAAACTGGAGCTGAAGAGAAGACACGGCTCCATGGTTAAGGACACTGGCTCCTCTCCCACGAGGCCTTGGTCTAGTCCCAGCACACATGTTGTAACTCACAACTATATGTAACTCCAGTTGCAGAGGATCCAAGGCCCTTTTCTGGCCACCATGAGCACAAGGCTTGCATGTGGTACACAGAGAGACATGCAGGCCAACACCCATACACTTAAAATAATAATAATAATAATAATAATAATAATAATAATAATAATAATAAAATTTTTAAAGCTTTTAAAATAGCTGTTATCTAATAAGAATCAGAAGAAATTTCTAATTAATCCTGAATGGTATTAACTTATTCACAAACTGTAACTGGTAAATTACCATATAGTGCAAGTTGGGATGTGTCTTACACATAACAAATCACATCCAGAAAAGACACATTTTCATATGGACTGTGTATTTGTAAGATACAAATGTGTCATAAAGATACCGTTTTTTGAGATCCAAGCTCTGTGGCACAAGCATGTGTGTAACCTAGCACTCAAGAGGCCAGCCAAAACTATATAGTAAGATTCTGTCTCAACAACAACAAATGCCTATTTACATTGCTTTTATCAGATGTTACTTCAAAAAACTATATAATCACAAAATTTTAACTGTTCCAGCTTCTGTCATTAGTTCACATGCTCAACCAAGAAGAGAATTCACAAAATCTCACGACTGTTACCAACTAAAACAATTGATATTGTATAGAATGTTTCTGTTCGATATTTAGCAGCAAGACCCCTTCCCGGTGAGCTGCTTTTAAAAGGCCCACAGGCTCTTCCCCCCTGCTGTCTTTCTGCTTCCTCCTCCTGTGAGTCTGATGAAGAGCACGTCTATGCTGCCCTGAACAAGGGTGCAGGCGCTGTCAGTGTGACTCAGGGAACAGCTGTTCTGTGCTCACACTCGGGAGCTGAACTCTGAAGCGGGAGAGAAACGGCTCTGAAAAATGACTCATAGCCCCGGGAGTAAGGTTCCAATACCAGCAAGCATACACCTTCTCAGCCCTGAGTCGTAAACGTGACATGTGGGCTTGCAACATTCATAGCAAAAGCATAAAAACGCCCGCACCTGGCCCGGGTCGTTGTACCAAAGTTCTTCATGAAGTCGGTCAGGGTGAGCCTTTTTGCGTTTAATCTCCGCAATGACATCGAACACCTCCGAGTCAGAGCTGCTTGAGCAGGAGCTGTCCTCGTCAGTCTCGCACTCAGATTCACTGGAGCTCTCTAGTGGAAGGGGGAGAGAAAACATAGACGTTCATGGATGTAACAAGATGGTTCTCCAGACACTTTCAAACGCCCAAAACTTTAGCTGGGGTCACTGTTCACTCCTACAGTAAATTTTTGAGGGGTTAGTCGACACCAAACACTGTTGAAGCAATGCCATGAAAAGCATACAGTTCAGAGTGCTAAGTCATAATGTAGCTGGGAAGCAGAAAAAAAATATATAGATTTTATAAAGAAAATGAGAACTAATAATGACAAATACCAAGTACAAGCAACAGGTACCAGTGATTTCACACCGTAAAAACCAGTATCGACTCAATAAAGAGCCAGTCCACTGGTAGCCAGAAAGGTCAGTGGCAACTTCACAGAATGGACATGTGCAACTGAGCCATTGGACAGAGGAGGAGGCTGACACAAGGGTGAGAGGGGCCATGTAGCCCAGGCCTGGACATGGGCCAGGGAAAGACTCTGAGCTCAACGGAGCAACCCTTGGGGGACGAGGGTGGAAACACCCCAAATGCCAGACTCTGGGCTAAGGATGAAGATCTTATCCTTTTTTCTCTTGATAACAGCCATGAGTATATATATATATCCCTTCACTCACAAGCGTAACCCCAGTACTCAAGGGCATACGAGGAGATCAAGAGTTCAAGGCCATCCTCAACTACATAATGAATTTAAAGCCAGGTTAAATTAAATGAGACTCCATCTCAAAAAAACAAAACAAAAAACAACAACAAAACCAGAAAGAGACCGAGTTCCTGAAAGCAACTGCCTGAAAACAGACAATTATGATGTATGAAGCAAGCTACAAGAGATACAGACAGGATTTCACTTAGGTGAAGTACTTGAAGCCATCAGATGCAGAGACAGAAAGCAATGAAGGTTGGAGTGGGAGACTTTCTGCATTTTTGCTTAATGGAAACATTTCAGTTTTACAGGATGAAGAGTTCTGCAAACTGGTTGCAGCCGATACACATGTACTTACTAACACACTAGATGATTCCAATGGTTACCAGGGCATACTTTGTATTGTGTTTTGTTACAACTTGAGATAAGAACCTGAAAGTAGCAGCATAATAACAAAATCCAGTACTGTAAAGTTTATCTTAGATAGACAATACTGTCAGTCGCATTTCGCAACAGGAAAACTGAGACACAGAGACTTACGCCCAAGTCACTTAGCAGAGCCAGGCCGTTTGGTTCTGAGTCTAACTGTGCCACTACCACACAGCATGAGACAAAATGAATCTGGGCAAGGGAGAGCTAAACAGAAGATGTGATGGCACATGAAAGTCTCACTGTGACCACTTCCCCACCTTTTGGCCAAGATCAAGTGTAGTAACATCCGAGCATGGTGCTATGCTAGGGGCTAAGGACACAAAGTGGCATTTTAAAAGCATTTCTATCCTCAGATACCATCAGCACCTTGTAACCTGCAACCCTCTGGAGGCTGAAGGAAGAGGGCAACCATGAGTTCAAGTCTGGCCTGGGCAAGATACTAGATTTCAGGCTAACTGGACTGCAGAATGAGAGCCTGTCTCAAAAAACTGGAGGGGTTCAGGGGGAGAGTCTCACCAACTACTTCAAACAACAGAACTTACACTTATAACAGACTATGAAGGGAAAAAAAAAATCTGTCAGTAGGTAGAAAGCTTCACACTGGAGTGATGCTTCCTCAAACAAGGAGTGCCCAGCAACAGAAGGAGCCGGGGAAGTGTCACTTGTTTTCAAGAATTTAAGGCACAATTCCCTGCTTTTAGAGGGATGCCCAGGATACAGCACTTTCTGATTCTGAGGCTAGACAACTCCGCAAGAGATGAACATGTTAGCCCGCCTTATAAAATAAAATTGTATACACTCTGGAATGTAACTGAGAAAGTAAGAACACATACCTGCTGACTATAGCTAACAAAAATAAAATGAAAAGAGAAAACATTTCAAGTTGGCTAATCTAAAGGCTGGAATTCAGCAGAACTAACACAGCAGTCTTGAGCTCGTCCACTCACCCAAATCTTCATCTAGCTTTGTCTTCGGAGGCTCCCATGGAGGCCGGGCAGCTTTGGCCTTCTCTTGCCTGGTCCCCAAATCTTCCTCAAATTTGTCATACAAATCACGGAGCCTGCTTGTTCCTACAACTGTAGAGTCTCCCTTTGCAAAGTAAAGGATCAGCGTGAGAAGCCATATGAATGATCATCATAGGAAAAAACCCCTTAACTACAAGATGCTATTTTTAAGTCCCCAATGCAATCAATATTTGAAAAGGAAAACACCCCACACTGGCAGCAAGCTTCTGAACCACACACATTGTATGCCTGGTGGGTCAGGGAAATGCACTTCAATTACACTGAGCAGCGTGGGGACTGTTGGCATATGCCCATGACATGTGACATTAAAAAAATACCATGACCCTTGGAGCAAAAGAAAGTCTCCCCTTCTCTCTCCCCAACAAGCACACCCAGGAAGTACAGGGCTTCTACACCATAGTCTTAGAGGAGTCCTCTGCCGCTGCCCACTGTCCTTCCACAATGGAAATCACATTGAACGGCCAGACTGTTTGACCTAGTGACCGCAAAATGTAGCATTAGAAGGGAAGCTGGTAAGGCACTGGCAGTCTAGCATTTGGCTTAGAATCTTCTGACAGAGAAGGTGGCAAGAATGTCAGGGGTGTTACAGAAGGGTCTTGGGCATGAGGAAAACTACGAACAGCTACCAGAAGTGAGGAACCCACAGGAGACACTGGGCAGTCAAACAAGAACCTCTGCTCAATAGCTAAAAATAAAAAAAATAAAAAAAATTAAAAACCTGCCAGCAACGTAATGAGAAAGATTTTCTCTAGAGCTCCAGAACGGAATGTGCTGCCCTTCTGACACCTTGACTTACACAACGCAATCCAAGCTCAACCTCTGACCCTTGGAGCTGTGAAATGATAAACACTTGTTTTTCAAGCCACACAGCTTAGAAAGCTTTGTCATGGCCACAAAGAAAAACAAACTCCATGGACATGAGTGACACGGCTCTGGGAGAGATGGAAGCGGACCTTGGGAAAGGTACACGCTTCTCTGTGTCCTGTACGCAGACAGAGGTAAGAATACAACGCCTACACAGTGCCACTCGAGAACTCTGGAGGATTCTGAAGACATTAGATGCTGTTCCCGAGCCACGAACCAAATGCTGGCCCAGCCTCCCTCTACACCCCTGGGAAGAAAACCAGAAGCCCGATGCATTCAAGCAGCACACAAGTATAACTCCTGGTTACACTCTATCAGGTATCCTACCACTATCACGGACTCCTCAATCCTTCTTTTTCCAAAGACAAGGAAACCTTTCAAGTTCTACATAGGTAAGGGTCACAAGGGAAGCAACGGACAGTCCAAAAGCAATACATACTCAGTAGAAGCCGTACTTCAGGGCCAGCAAGATGGCTAAGCAGGTCAAGGCACCTGCTGCTGAGCCTGACAACCTGAGTTCAGACCCCGTGACCGTCTTCGTGGGAGGAGCAAACCAGCTCCTACGGCTATCCCGTGATCACACTCATGACCACATGTATACAAAATATAAAGAAATGTTTAGAAAAAGAAAATAATTTCAGATTTAAGGTTTTAATCTTTTCCCAAATTAACAAACGCTGTATGATCTTCTCCTGAGACTCGGGGCAGTGGCAGCCAGATGTTGCTCTCAGGCATCTACGCCATCAAGAAGGGACACGGCCCACAGTCTGTCCCACACTATGCTGCCAGGGTTTCTTGGATATATGTTCCCAAAAATGTACAAGAGCTACTCAATACTCCATTATAAGACAGACTTTGTATAAGATGATTTTGTCCAATAACAGAGTAGAACCCCAGTGCTCTGAGCACAGGGCTAACTGTGACATTTTGCTGCGTGTATTAAATATAACCAGGACTAAAGACATCTTCAACTTACAATGGTGTTGCTAAATATAGCCCTGCCCTAAAGCAAGGAGCATCTCTACATTTACAAAATTTCAAAGAGCAAAACCCCATCTTACTGAACCTCACCCAATAAATGTCACACAGCCAACTTCTTGATCCCTAAACTGTAGGGCCACTGTTCCACTCATTCATTTAATTAATGACCCTTATTTGATATCCACCTTGTATCAAGTATGACATATGAGCCTAACTTATAATTAATTGGACATAAACACTTGGTCTCCAGTGGTGGCGCTGCTTGGTGAGGTTACGGAACCTTTACAAGGTACAGACTAAATAGAGGAAGGCCGTCTCCGGAGGACGGATAACTAGAGGAAGGCTGTCTCCAGAGGACGGATAACTAGAGGAAGGCTGTCTCCGGAGGACAGATAACTAGAGGAAGACTGTCTCTGGAGGATGGGCTCTGAGCGTTTATAGCCTCACCCTGCCTCCGGTTCTTTGTCTTTCAGTTTCCTACATGACACTGAGATATGATCTCTTTCCAGGACCTTGTCTGGTCTCAGAAGATAAGCAGGTAGGGGCCTGATTAGTATTCTGACTGTTGTATTCAACTTCTTGCTCCAGCCAGCTCCTGCCACACCCACCCCTGCCATTGTGGACTCTAACCACAAGCCAAAATAACTTCCCCTTTCGTTGTTTCTGGTCAAGGTATTTTATCAGAGCAAAAGAAAAGTAACTGGTAACAGCGACAGACAGCTGTCTGAAGACAGTTTGGGTTCTCACCACAGGGAAAGGATGCTATTAGCATCCGACGGATAGGGCCTACAGATGCTGCCCAATATCCTACAATACACAGGCAATGCCTACAAAGAATCATCTGGCCTAAATGCCACACTGCTGTGGTGGAGAAACCCTGGTCCACACGGTCTCTGTTTCACACCTACCACCTGATCCATGGGGTCACTGGAGTAATAGCTTTCCGAATGTGTGCATCGGATCCACACGGGCTTGAGGAGCTCTTCCTCCTCCTCCTCGGTTTTCTCAGGAGGCATCTCCTCTGCCTCTTTTTCTTTGATGGATGTATAGTTCTTCTCTTTGCCAGAGCCCTGGCTGTCGCTCCATCTGTCTTTTTCCTCCTCCCAGCGAGCTCTCTTCCTATCCCTGCTTGGGGAACGACTTCAAAAGGAGGGGAGGAAAGTTCGTTATTGAAAATAATGAATGTTCCATTATCTAAGCTACCTGGTGCATTTTCCGCCTACATGCGAATGTCACGTCCATGCACCATGCCAAGTTTCACTAAACCAGCGATTCCCAAATGCCAGTCTGCTAGCATCAGAATCACCTGGTTTATCTGTATAAAAATACAAACTCCAAGTCCCTACCCCAGATTTACTTACTGATTCATATTCTCTGGGGATGGGGCCCAAGAATCTGTAGTTTTAATAATCTCCCCAGGTAATTCTGGTGTGCACCCAGTGGGTTCAGGAGCAACTGGCAAACCATAACTCCTAGAAGAGAAGACACTCAGAAAATATTTGGGCATCTCTACTTACAGACAATTTCATCAATGAAAACCATAGTTTTCAATCTTTCACATACTGCTTTGCCAAAATAATTTTTTAAAGCTTCCCAACGCCTGGCCTGCACTTGGCTATGGGTTTAGCCTGACAGCTAATCCGAGGAAGCAGCAGTAACACTCACAACATCGCTCTGGAAAAACAGACTTAAGTATTACACCCAAACTGTGGCTAATTATGGTCCTCAAAATACTAATGTCAACTTAGTTAATAATGAGGATAAGAAATCTACTATCCTTGAATTCCTGGGGCTTAAAATACATAAAGATTAATCCTACGAATGTACTTGGAGGAAAAAAATCTATAGGGTAGATTCTAACTTAAGCCTATTAAATTTAGATAGAACCTAAAATCCTTCAAAAAGACAGCTGGTGAGAATCGTTACATTATTAAATCAGTGTGTGCTCACTGTCCACTGATAAAATTACTACTACCTAATAAAGTTTGCCTCTAGATTTAAGTGAAAAATTATTTTTGAGACAGACATGGTGACTTGTTTTACTCTAAATAAAAATGGCCCCTTGACTCATACAGAGTGGTATTACTGGAGGTATGGCCTTGTTGGAGTAGGTGTGGCCTTGTTGGAGGAAGTGTATCACTGGGGGGTAGCAGGGTAAACTTTGATGTTTCAGAAGGGCAAGATAGGCCTGCTGCAGGCTCTTTCTCTTCCTGCTGCCTTCGATCTGGATACAGAACTCTCAGCTACTTTCCCAGCACTATGCCTGCCGGCAAGCTGCCATCCTTCCTACAATCCTAACAATGGACTAACTGTAGAGAAATGCTCTGAGAGAGTCTGCCCTGGAGGTCAGGAAGTCAGCTGTGATGGCTTCTGTGCTATCTGCAGCGGAAGTGATCAGATGGCCTAGATCCTGGCAGTGGCAGGGGTAGTGAGGGTAGTTAAGTAAGATGCCAAGTCTTCTGGGACGTGAGAACTGAATAGATGTGCTGGAGCAGGGAAGACATAGCAGTCGTAACTCTGAGCTCTGGTGTTCCTCACTGTGAGCAGGGGGACATGAGGCAAGAGATAAGAACGTTAGTTCTATTCAGGGCAGTGACATGATGACCAGTGTTCACCGAGGAAGACACATTTGTAGTCATGGCACTGGTGTAGCACTTGTGCACTTGCCAGAAGATTCGGGATGTTACAGAGATGATGGTCCATGGGCAAGAATAACATGTAAAGTCACGCAGCACTCCGTCGTTTTATGAGAGAGGGATGGGTAGAGGAATCAGAATGTATTATATACATGGGCGCAACCATCAGACAACATTTAGGAAAAAACTTCAGACTTACGGCAAAGATTTCAAAGCACTATTTTGAGGAGATGTGTAGAAATGAGACCTGGCATGTGTTTTTGAGGGCTGTCTATCTGGTATTAGGTATAAGGAGAGAGGACGCCGCCGCACACTTTGGTAATTGATCTGACAAATGTATTCACACCAGGAGAAGTGTTAACTAACCTGCCATGAGATCTGTTAAGTTAAGGTGTGCACACGTAAGAGGAGATTAGACACCAGTGGTCGTTCGCCCTCTGCTCCTAGCACTTCTGATGTGGAAGCAGGAGGATCAGGAATTCAAAGTGTCCCTCACATCTCTCATCAAACATGGTAAGTTTGAGGCCAGCCTAGGCTACAATTAATTAATAATATAATTAATATTAAAATATTAAAAGTAAACTTAAGAATATTGAAAATACTCATAGAATATAATTGTTATCAATAAGTGGTATTTTAGATAACTTTTGTTAATATGTTTATGCTTTCTTTGTCTTTCTTTGCTTTTGCTTTTTTGTTACTGAGGTGGGGTCTCACTACATAGATAACTTGCAACAGTCTTCCCCTCTCTGCTTCCTCAGTGTTGGGAAAAAGGTTTGCACCAGTGTACCCAGACTGTGCTTTCTTTTTCTTTTCTCTTTTCTTTCCTTTTTTTTTTTCTTTTCCGTGACAGGGTTTCTCTGTATAGCCCTGGCTGGCTTTGAACTCACGAGATCTGCCTGCCTATCCTTTGCTTTTCTACCGAGAACACACACCTCCTAACTGGAGGACTCTTATGGAGATTTTCCTCAAACTCCAACAGCACTGGCACTGTGCTTCTCACCTCCCAGGCCACCCTGGCCAGAGCTGTAACGGGGACTTGGCAGACAGTGGGACAAGCACAGAAACTCACATTTTAAGAGGTAATGCTAATCGCTTACCTTCCGGATCTCTTATACTCTTTTTTGTAGGACCTTTCCAGAGACGGCGATCTGCGGTTCTCCCGGTGCCTGTGTCTCTCTCGTTCCCGCTCTCTTTGAGGAAATAATACAAGAGGTTTTCAGCAGAGAGACTCAAAATCACCATGTCTTCACTGAACCTTCCTCTGAAGAAAGAAAATTTTAGGGACTAGCCCTACTTATTGCTCCTCAGTTTACTGAGGGACAGGCATAGTCTCTCCACAGGCAGTTTTGGACGTTGTCCCCAGCACTCAGCACTCAGTTCACGTTTCTCACAATCTTCTCAAGACCCTCTAATCAGCTAACCTACAGCAAACGAACCCCCTGACTACTGGCTTCCAGAAACTGTTTACTTAACAAATAAATGCAGACTAAAGGTCTTATAGCAAAGTTGAGAACAAGCAGTATGATGAGTGCCCTGGACCTTATGGAGTGGGGCCGGAGCTGCAGCTGTGAGCGCTCGCTCAGTGACCCGCCAGACGAGGACTTGAGCACGTGGGTGCTACTTTCCTCTAGAAAAGCACCCCAAATAGACAGATTGACCTCAAGTGAGATGAGAAACTGAGAACGCTTTCAGTATAAACCTAGAATATAGTAACAGCTTGAGTTTATTTGACAGAGGCAGTAAACACCCAGAATACAAATCAGCATCCAGTCTGTCTCCATCAGAGCCACCAACCTGAAGGAAGAAGACACACCCAACTGAAGAAGATAGCTGACCATCTTTTATTTGGAGTTTTCAAGCTTACAATATTTATCAACTTTATAAAGCCTGGGTATCCCCTAATTTGAAAATCTGAAATACTGAAATATTTCAAATTTCAAAAGTTTCTGAGCAAGATGTTAACATCTTGATTTTTCAGTCTGGGGGGGAGGGGTCAACAAAAAGAATAAATCTAAAATATCTGAACTCAAAAATAGCACCTACTCCCCTACTTATATCCAAGAAATGACCAAACGGTAAAAATCAAATCAGTCGAATTCAGCAGCTATTCACCATGGAGAACCACAGATGGGTCGAAAGCTGTCCTGGGTAGCAACTTCTATCAAAAGGTTAGATATTGGGTAACAACTCTAATTGTGTGGGCATCTTGTTGATTGAGCATTTCTAAATATATAAATCCTTTAGATAATCATTAAGTTTTAAGAGTCTCATTTCTACCGGGCTCTGTGAGGATGGCAGATATTGTCTGGGGTTCAGCTTTGTGGTTGCAGCATCTCATGGGTGCCAGGGGCTGTGCATCTAACTAGCCAGAGCCCTGGTCAGAGCTGAGGAGCAGTGGGAACATGGTGGCTGCCTGGGAACAAGCCGGACCAAGCTGGACTGGGCGCCAATTTCTAAATATTGCCCATAACATGTGTGTGTGTGTGTGTGTGTGTGTGTGTGTGTGTGCGCACTCGCGCACGTGCGTTTTATTAATATGCAAGTTCCCAAGATCCTCCTTTCTTAAAAAAGGTTAAGCTATTCCTTAGGTGTCTATGCTGTGCAGCTGTGACAGGTACACCTTTACCTTGAGCAGAGTAGCCTGGGAGTGACTGTGAGGCAGCTCTGCTTAGCTAGGCAAAGTCAATGGTGTGATACTGCCACCCTGCAGAACTGCATGCTAGCACCCTATACCTAAGTTCCCTTCCCCACACTTTAGAACAATCTTTCATGGTAACAAGTACATATTACTCTTTCTGGAAAGTTTGCCTTGGAACAATCTTGCAGTTGCTATTTAATTATATTTGGGGCATAAGCAAGCATGTAAGCGTTCTGTTGTCTCTGCTCTGACTATGGACATGACGTGACTAGCTGTTTCAGGTTCCTGCCTTGTATTCCTACAGTGACGGGCTATAACTTGGAATCAAAGGCTGAAATAAACCCTTATCCCCTAAATTGTTTTTTTAAATGTTTGTTTTTTATAAAAAGCAAACACACACACACACAGCAGAAGTAAAACTGGGACAGATTGCCTCCTTTAAAGATTTTTTTTTTATTTAGAAAAATTTGGTACTGGGAAAAAAAAAACATGAATCTACAACTAAACAGTATTTTTCAAATACAACTTTCCTCTGTGAGAACACTTCAGTGCAGGAAAACAGGCTAAAGCTATTTTGGGACTATAACTTGAATGAGTAGTCTTGCTTCTCTTTAAAGGCAACAGTGTTCAAAGTGGTCACCGAGCTCTGCTTCCGGGTTGGTGATGCACGCACATCACCCGTTTGTAAAGAACAGAGAGTCACAACCCAAAGGTGACCACAACGAGCAAAATTAAAGCCCCAATGATTTAAAACAATGAAATCTTTCATGCTGTGGGATCATCATTAAAGCACACCGGTGTCACAGAGGGAAAAGGCCACACTGGTCTACACCAGTCATTTTGGAACGCTTTCCTAAACCACCCTTTTTTCTTTACAACCCATTTACTTGTCAGTCTTCCTTGTGAAAAGTCTAAACCATCTTTTTTTTTTTTAAATTAAAAATCAAGTGCATGCCAGACAGTAGTGTGGCACTCCTTCAATCCCAACACTAGGGAAGCAGAGCTAGAAGAATCTCTGAGTCCGAGGCCAGTCTGGTCTACAGAGTGAGTTCCAGGACAACCTGGGCTACACAGAGAAATCCTATCTCAAAAAACCCAGAGAGGGAAAAGTGCACACGTTTTTGTTGGTCTGCAGACAGAAACTGGCCGTGTCTGAGCCACTGCAGCTTTATTAGGGAACTTTACGTGTGGGCTTACCTGCTCCTTTCGTAGCTGCGGTGGCGAGGTGGCGGCGTTCTGTCCCGATCATATTCTGAGCGGTAGCGACTATCAGGTCTTCTCCTTTCAGGACTACGGCCGCGCTCCCTGCGCTCCAGGGACCGATGCCTCTCGCCTCGCCCATGACTGTGATCTCGGTGCCTGTGGTCGTCATAGTGTTTAAGCCTTTCTGGGGACCTTCTCTCACTCTGAGCCTTTGGGAGTGAGTATGGAGGGAGATGTCTAAAATGAGGGGTACTGCTGTTATTAGCACTGGGTGGGAAAGAACTGGAGTTGTTCTGGTAACTGTTGAAATTGGGAGGTGGGAAACTGTGAGAGTATCCGGGAGGGTACTGGTAGTTAACCTGCTGCGGCATGACGGGAGGGGGAGGGGGGTGAGGCACAGAAGGAGGGGGGACCATGAAGGGAAAAGTGCCCTGTCCAGGAGGTGTTCCAGAGACTGGGGGGTTATTTTGACAAGGCATTGGAGGGGGCATGGGTGGGAAACAGGGAGGCACTGGGAAAGGATGTCTCATCTGGTGGTTGGGGTAAGGGGGTCTAACTGGGCAGGGTGGGATAGGGCCTTGTGCTGACGGTGCTACCGGTGGCGGGTAAGGAGCATAGTCCGGTCGTGGGGGCATATAGTTGGGGGCTTGAGAGTTCGAGTACGAGGAAGAGGGGGCGCTCGGAGGCTCGTATTGATATTGTGCAGACGGCTGCTGAGGATGAAGAAGTCTCAGGTTTTGGGGCCTGAAAGCTGGTGCTGAGGCTCTGGCTCCATGTCCTCCGTGTCCTCCATGTCCTCCGTGTCCTCCATGTCCTCCTCCTCCTCCTCCTCCCCCATGTCCTCCTCGTCCCCGGGGACACCCGCGTCCTGGGTGGTACGACATTCTATGACTTTTTTTAGAGAAAAGGAGAAATCAAAATATGGGTCTCACCAAGACCCACAGTGTGGAGGGAACTGAATCCTACAAGCTGCCCTTACACAGACGTAAACACACACACACACACACACACACACACACACACACACACGAATGCGCTCAAGCACACATGCAAACACTCACGGACTATAAATGTAAATTTTAAAGTAAATTTTTAAAAACCTCATAAGGATTCAAGTTCGAGCCCCAACACATAATGCATATCAAAACACAAAACATGATGTACTTGTAATCCCAGAGCCAAGAGGGCAGAGACAGGAGGATTCCCGGGGCTCACTGTCCAGTCATACAGTAAGAGATCCTGTCTCAAAAATAAAGTGGGTAGTGCCTGAGAAGAAGATGACAGAGGCCATCCTCTATCTTCTGCAAGTATCTGCGCATGTGCACACACACATCACTATGCCAACACCACGCCAACAGGTTTCCTAAATACCTAACTATCCTGATGAGCCCCTACGCACTTAATCAGTAGCACCAATAGTCAACCCATATAAAAAAAATTTATTTTTCCCTAAAACCTTTACAGCTGTTCTTTCCCGTCTGTTCCACGTGGCACACTACAGCCAGTCCCTTAGATCCGACAGCAGTCCCTGCTCCTCCTCCTCTCCATCCATTTCCTATCCTTGACCACAGTTCCCTCGAATCTTGCCCAGTGTCTTGACAGCTCATTTGTTAAAACAACCCATACAGTTCTGACCCACTCTGCTTCAGTGGGTACCAGGCAATGCGTCAGACGTAGAAGGAGCCAACATTTCACTCCCTGAAGGGCAGGTTGAAAACAGGACTGCTGAACACCACTTAAATGGGCAGGCTGCTGCCCACACATCCCTGGCATCTCCAGCAGCCAGGGTACTTTCCGGGCCAGCTCGGATGCTGGGTGCCGTCTCTGGACATCCTTCCTCACATCTCAAGCCCTCCTCGCTGCTTACAATAACTCTTCTATCACACAGAGACACCAACCCCATCCAAACAGAGGCTGTACCAACTCCCCAAACTCACCCAACTCATCTGCATCCAACCCCATCCCCAATTTCCTGCTCCTAGCAAAGCTTATCTTGCCAGAAGCACCTAGGGCTCCATCTCCAAATCTGTATTTGGGACTAGGGGACCACTCTATGTCTGCCATCTCCCAATCTTTGCCTACTACCCAACCCTTCACATCAGCATTTAGATATCCAGTCTATTCAACACACAATGCTTGCCTTGGCCTCCAGTTCTCCCTCAACTTTGCACTGCCTCATTTTCTTCATGTTCAAACTTCCTAAAAATGATGGTATGGACTAAACGTTTGTCTCCTCAGAATCCTTACATTCCTGTGGTGATACATGGTGGATGGAGCCTGAGGAAGTAACTAGGATTAAAATAATCTTGGGTGCTATTAACGTGAGTCGCAACTGCGCTGGTTAGAATGAGGAAAGACCCCATACGTTCACATATTAGAATGTGTGGTCCCCAGAGAGCAGAACTCACTAAGAAGGATTAAGACCTGTTGGAGGTGCTGTGTCACTGTGGGGCAGCTTTGCGGTTTCAAAAGCCCACACCAGGCCCAGGCCTTGTCTCTCTTTCTGTCTCCCTCTCTCCCTCCCTCCCTCCCTCCCTTCTTGCCTGACTGCATGTGGTTCAGGATGTAAGCCCAATGCCTTCCTCCCTCCCTTCCCTCCCTCCCTCCCTCCCTCCCTCCCTCCCTGCCTGCCTGCCACCATGCTTCCTGCCAAGGGAATACTTCTAATCAGATGCTTTCATACAAAAATTTGCCTTATTTCTGGTGTCTCTTCACAGCAACAGAAGAGTCACTAAGAGTATGGTAATCTAACGATGGGATTAGTGCCCTTATGAAGACAGAAGAAAGTCTAGTCTCTACCTGGTGAGGAAAGATACAGCAAGAAAGCCACCTGAACATCAAGACAAGAATCTTCATCATGAAAGTGAATCTGAAAACTGACCATGCTAGCACCTTGACAAAAGTCTAGAGTCCACCTTCAGTATGTAAACAGGGTTAGTACCAGGACCTTGATTTCTACGGGTACTGAAAAGCAGGAACCCTCAATTCCCTTCCCAATAAATATAATTTGTAGGGTATCAAGACATACACACTTACCAGGGAATAGTCCTGAAAGCTTTTCCTCCCTTACCTCATTTAACTAAAACCTTATCTCAAAACTAGCATAATGTATGTGTCCCTCCATCTTAACAAAAAGGTTCTGGGTTTGGTTTTTGGCTCTGGTTTGATTTCGTTTGCTTTTTTGAGATATGGTCTCATTCTGCAACCCTGGGTTGCCTGGAACTTGTTATGGTGCAGATTGGTCTGGAACTCACAGAGATCAGACTGACTCTGCCTCCCAAAGTAAAAAATTCCTATCATTTTCTTTGCAAATACTTTAATAATACTTAATACGTGCTCCCTTAACCAGCTACAGTAATACTCTTTCTGATTTTTCGGCAACCCCATCACCACACATAAAACTTCAGTGACTATTCTTCACTGTCTACTTGACTAATCTGGAACTAAAACCCAAAAATGGAAGCCACAATTGAGGGGATTTTTGCTTAATCTGAAGTAGAATAGACTTCTGATCCAGATCTTTGAGATCGGAAGATACATCTTTAATCTATCTGTATCTAACCTGGGCCACACCTCCTTGCTGGAAGCAAGGACATGGGACAAAGGACATGGGAGAAGGAAGCTTTTGTTCCTTGCCTGCTTAGTCTTGCCTTCTTAGCAACTCCATTCCTTCACTGGAGCCTACTTTATCAGCTTCTAGCACATACTGAAGACCAGCTATGACATCCAGCCTCATGGACTGAGCAACTACAGAACCAACCACTGGACCTTCACAGTCATTTACGGCCAGCTATTGTTGGGTTACTGTGATGGTTTGTATATGCTTGGACCAGGGAGTGGCACTATTAGGAGGTGTGGCCTTGTCAGAGTAGGTGTGTCACTGTGGGTGTGGGTTTTAAAACAATCATCCTAGCTGCCTGGAAGTCAGTATTCTGCTAGCAGCCTTCAGATGAAGATGTAGAACTCTCAGCTCCTCCTGCACCATGCCTGCCTGGATGCTGCCATGTTCCCACCTTGATGATAATGGACTGAATCTCTGAACCTGTAAGCCAGCCCCAATTAAATGTTGTCCTTATAAGAGTTGCCTTGGTCATGGTGTCTGTTCACAGTGGTAAAACCCTAACTAAGACAGAAATTGGTACCATGGACTAGGGTATTGCTGTGATAGGCCTGACCATGCTTTTGCTTGGAAGAATGTAGATTTTGGGACTTTGGATTTGGAAAGCAGTAGAATGCTTTAAATGGGGCTTAATGGGCTATCCTAGTAGGAATATACAAGACTTTGTTACTGATAATGATTTGAATTGTGTGGACCTGGCCCAAGAGATTTCAGTGGAGAATTTCAGTATGTGGCCAAGAGACTGTTTTTCTGGTATTTTGGTGAAGAATGTGGCTACTTTTTGCCCTTGTTTGAAGAGTCTGTCTGAGGCCAAGGTGAAGAGATTCAGATTAACTGCACTGACAAAGGACATCTCAGAAATGCCCATCATAGACTATGTTCTCTGGTTAAGTCTCATTTAGAGCATTTTAAACAAGCATAGTGAAGGACCCTAAGAGCTTTTGCCAGACTTACACTGTCCCCTCTACAGCTTCCCCCTCCTGCCTGGGGTCAAGGCTTGAGTAACCACAGAATGTACCGACTGATAGTCATCTGACCCTCTGGAAAGTCCCAGACGGAGTTCAAATGCGAGTCATGATCTGTGCATGCTTGCTAGCCAATAGATTTAAAGGTCAATATGCTTAGCTAGTAAGTTTGAACTGTAACCTTGCTGATGTAAACTGTGGCTCTAAAAAAAATATAAAAACTGCTTGTAATAGACATTGGGGTTGCCTTCTAGACACTGGCCTTGAGGGACTAATTGAAGGTAACCCCAGAAAATAAGCCTCTTGCTTTTGCATGGATCTGCGTCTAGGTGTCTTACTCAGGGGCTTCTCGAAGTAAGTACCACTGACCAAGGGTCGGGGTCTTACAGTAGCAGGCTAAGAAAGGAATAACAGTGGTGGGAGGGGTGACAGATCCAGATTACCATGGGAAAATTGGATGGCCTCTCTACAATGGAGGTAAGAAGTATTATGTCAGGAGTGCAGGAGGTCCCTTAGGGCGTCTCTTAGAACTGCCATGTCCTGTGACTAAAATCAACAGGAAACAACAGCCTAGTCCAGGCAGGCACGGTACAGGAGGAGCTCAGAGTTCTACATTTTCATCTGAAGGCTGCTAGCAGAATACTAACTTTCAAGCAGCTAGGATGAGGGTCTTAAAGCCCACGTCCACATTGACACACCAACTCCAATAAGCCCACCCCTCCCTGGGCCAAGCAGTTAGCTAGAAAAAAATGTCTGCAAGCTATTGTAACTAAGTCTTCTTATGAAATGAAAGAGATTCACTGTATAAGATCTCTAACTCTAGAGAACCTTCCTTAGATTTCCTGCTCTTACAATACTCTCTGCAGCTTCTTAGCAGGTCCTACAAGCATCACAGTCCACCAATAATTATGTAAGTCTACCTTCAATGCCTATGTGTCATCAAGAACTGCAAACTCGATCAGGGGAGGCCTCTAGGATGTTTCCTTGACTCTTCTGGTCTGGTTCCTAGCTGTACACACAAATCTCTTAACAAGTTGACCATAGATAACAGAATGAACACAGTTCCTGCCTTTCCTCTGAATCTGAAATTTTTCCACCCTCTCTGGCCTACCCTCTCCCGTCTAGTCTCTCGAAACTGCCATTTCCAGCATACCACTTACCACGTACTGCCTTGCATTGTGATGTGTCCTGTAGATTAGCTACATCTTCTGCTCACGATGTAAGTTCTACAAGACAGAAAAAGACATATTTCCAAAACTGCCAGTGCTAAAAAAAAAGGGGGGGAGGGAGGAAGGTTGGTTTTATTTACAATCATCTTATCAGTAATTTTAAATCTTCTAGTGTGCTTAGCCTATTAACAAAATCAGGAACATACTGAGCTACTGTCAATTTTTTAAGCAAACTGCCTGCCATCCTTATTAGTTGGGCAGTTGTGCAAACCCACATATCCATTGCTAAACTGACCAAAAGCACAGCCACCTGCCGGCTCTGGTTTAGTAAAAGACTGAAGGAAAGACTTCCTCCATCCTCCGCAGACAAATTTCCCTTCACTATAATATAAAGTAGGCATAAAGCCAACATAAAAATCCCAGTGAAAACTGAATTCAAATTCAAACACAGCCAGGACCCGACTTAACACAACAGCTACTACTCTTTACTTTCAGTCTCAGCATCTTCCCACAGAACATTGTAAACATAAATGAACCCCCACAGAGTGCTTTAACATACACACACACACACACACACACACACACACACGAACACACAAATATTGTGCTATCCCAGTACTGGGAAGGTAGAGACAAGCAGACCTCTGTGAGTTCAAAGCCAGCCTGGTCTATAGAGCTAGAATTCTAGGACAGCCAAGGCTCAGGCTTTAATGCAGAAACATCTTTCTAGGGACTAGAGAATGGCTCAGCCGTGAAGAACACTTGCTGCTCTGGCAGAGTCCAGTTTCCAGGACCCGCGGCGGGTGGCTCACAACTGCCAGGTGACCCAATGCCCTCTTCTAGCCTCCAGAGCTACCTGCACACAAGTGTACATACAAATATGTGGCCCAGTGGCTTTCAACCTTCCTATTGCTGTGACCCTTTCAGACAGTTCCTCATGTTCTGGTGCCCTCCCAGCCATACAGTTATTTCACTGCTACTTCATGACTGTAATTTTGCTACTGTTATGAATCATATTGTAAATACGTAATAGGCAGGGTATCTAATATACGTCTCCTGTGACTTTCCAGGCACAGCCAGCCACTGTTGGGTTAGGCAGATCACGGCCTGCGAGTCATTCTAATAAATCGCCTTCCTATACATGTAGATTCATTCTGTAAGTTCTTTTAACTCTAGAGAACCCTGACTAATACACACATAAAATATAAACATACGGACACACAGACACAAAAATAAAAATTTTTAAAAATGTTTGTCGCTTTCAAACTGGCAAAGTAAAAAAAAAAAAGAAAGAAATAATTGAGCTCTATCAATTACTACTTAATAAACAATAGCTAGCTACCAAATAATAGGATGAATAATTGTTCCTCGTTCCAATACTCTCATGATTAAACTTGGGACTCAAAGCCAACAGAATTGAGAACAAACACCATGCTTGGTATTTGAGGTCTTAACCTAAATCCAACCTCACCCGGGCTTCTCATCATATTTCCTTCTCCACAAAGTCCCTGTCAACCTATACTTCTGGGCCAGTTAATATACCAAGCACTACCATGAAACTTCTTTGCTTCCACTCCCCTTACTTCTGCAACAAATTCCTACCCACCCACTTAACCTCTTCTTGTGAAGAACTCCTGACTTCCTCTGTGGACTCAAGCTCGTTCCTTCTACGTTGCTACTGCTTAGTGTGTACTCAGTTCTCTTACGGAACTTACCAGAATCTGCCGTATGTGACAGTCATGTGTGCCCACGTTGAATTCCTCCAGTATGTGACTAGATCTTTGAAATCAGTTCATTCATTCATTCCTGCATCCTCCACAGCCTCTACACAAAGTAAACGGCAGGCAAGATTGACTCTCCGTCATTGAGTATATGTCTAAATCACTAAGTTTACACGACATCCCTTCCAATTTCTCCCCCAGAAATACCCATTTTCAAAACCATCTGGGAAGCAGCCATATTCATTGATTCCATCACTTACTGAGCCAACACACGTGACTGTCCCAAGCTCTGTAGACTCAAAAATGAATAAGGCACGCAAGCCTGCCGAGTTCAAGGATCGCAAAACACACATACAAATGTTTACATAATAACAACAGTAATACGATGTCCTGAACACTATAAAAAGAAAAACGCAATGTGCTAAATACAAGAAAATAAGGATGTAGAGTGTCCAGGAGAACAAAAAGGACTGTACTGAAGCTAGAGGTGGACAACAGTCAGGGGAATTAACACCTCTCCACGGTGTAAAACGGAACGGCACACTACGGAACGGCACACTCCGTTAGAAAAGCTAGACCATGCTGTACCACTGTACTGTGGATGCAAAGTTTAATTCAAGTCAATTTAACCCACGTGGGAAATGCCTATTCCTGGGCTGCCCTTTGAAAACAGGGAAATTGAGGGAACGATTCTGGACAATTTACTTGTCCAGGACCCGCAACGAGAGTTGCAAGGTGTGCCTAGAAGTCGCTGAAAACCCCGCGCTTTCCCCAGGTTGAAGCTGCAGCCAGGCCTCCTGCTGGATGAAGAGCAATTGCACGTTGCCTGGTTTGCATCTCCCGCCAGCATGCGAGGTCAGTGCAGGACTCCGGGACTCGCCTCCCCCTGCAGCCCGGGAGGCCTGGCGGCTGGACCACAGCTTGTGTTCCATAAATAGATGAAAGGCATCCCATCTACGGGATCTGTATCGAGGGTCGCTCTTTCGCCCTGGCCGCAGATCTCCCCCGAAGCCACCCAAGCCGGACTTCCAAGATCGTTTCGCTCAGTTCGGGACTCCATTTAAATCCCGACACTCGATACTCGTTCTCCGAACACCCATCAAGCGCCCCCGTTTACCTAGGGAATCCTGGGGTCGCCGCTACGGAAGCCGAGCCTGGTTACTATAACAGCCTCCACGACAGAGGCGCCGCCCGAGCCTCCGGAACAGGAAATCCCGGGAATTAAAAAGCAAACCCATGAAAGCTGGGCCTTGGGAGGGAAAAACTCTCCGGAGCGTGTCGCAGCACCTTTTGCGCTGTGATTGGCGGATCAGTGAGAGTGACGGACATCTAGACCAATCGATATTGTCTAGAGTTCTCACACCCGCCTCTCCACCTTGTTGTCCTCCAATCCGGAAGCGCAACCGGGTGAGCGCGCGTTTCCGTCGCGGGGCGTGCGGGTTGAAGGTGCCGGGCGTCCTCTCCCAGGTGTCTCGGAGTCACTGCGGAGTCACTGCGGCCTGAGTCTCGCGGAGACATGAGTGACGCCGGAGGCGATGGCGCGCGCCTCAGGCGCTACCCCAAGCTTCCGGTGTGGGTGGTGGAGGATCACCAGGAGGTGAGCGGGCGACCCAAGCCCTAGCTTGAGGGATTCGAACCCCGGCAGCCTGCAGAGACTTGACCAGCACCTAACGCTGGCTGCAGCCTGTCCCCCTGCCGACGTCGTCATCCTGCCGTTTTAACTTAAGGGTTAGCTCCAACCTGAATGAACCCTCGGCTGTGAAATGGGGACAATAATCGTAGATCGTGTTATAGGGCTGTTGCTGAAGACGTAAGCCTTCAGCGTTTATTGACGTTTTATATGACAGTTTTATAGTAAAGTGGGTACCTTAAGTAGACGTCTGGAAGACGACCAAGCAAGTCCAGGAGACTTGTTATGGCACCCCTGGAGGGTCTCTGGGTATAAAACAAAATGGAACAAGAGTGAAGCTCAGCGGTACAGTGGTTACCACAGGCCTTGGGTTCAGTCCCTTCCTCCAGGAAAAAGTAGGAGAAGGTTATTTATTGATGGAGAAAGTTAAAGGAGGAAAGAAAGTCGATCTCTGAGATAAACCCAGCTTTGGGTTCGTCTGTGCTTTTAAATTTGGTAGTGAAGTTGGATGTATAGCCTGTAAGAGGAAAAAGTCATCTAGTTCCGCTCCACCATCCTAAAGGGACAGAAAATGCCCTAAAACACAATTTAATGCTAGATAGAGTGACTGGTTCTGGGCTGTTGGGTGATAAAGATGGAGATTATCATCAGAACCATCTATGGTAAAGAATATTTTTATTTTCCCACTTTTGACAACTTGATGCACTTCAAGTTGGTGCAGTCTTTCCGTTTGTCGTTTTGTCTGCTCTTGACAGAGTGCAATTCTCAATGTGTGTGTGTCTCTATTACAGGTTCTGCCTTTCATATACCGGGCCATAGGTTCGAAGCATCTTCCTGATAGTAATATACGTTTTTTACATTTTGACTCCCACCCAGACCTCCTTATTCCTGTGAATATGCCAGCAGACACTGTGTTTGATAAAGAAACACTCTTTCGGTAACATGATTTTTCTATCATATTTTATGTATTTGAAATACAGCGTAAAGCGGATGATTAACAATAGATTTTGCTGCACTCACCATGTTTGGGATTTTTATTTGTTTGTTTGCTTGCCTTTTAAATTTTTATTTTATTTTATTTTATTTTATTTTATTTTATTTTATTTTATTTTATTTTTTACCAACTAAAAGAGCCAAAATAAGGATCATGTGCAGTGAGTGGCTGATACCTGTGATCCCAGCCCTTCGAATGCTGAGGCAGGAGAATTACAGTTTGAGGAGAGCCAGGGCTACATTGAAGCCTCTTTATGGTTAAGTGTTGTCAAGATTCTTGGCAGAATCTAGAATTATCTGAGAAGTGGGCTACAGGGCTTGTCTCTGGGGAATGATCTTGGTTGGATTAATAGAATCTCCCTAGGCATTCATACATGTGAGTCTGTAGGTCCACTCTTACTCAAACCAGCACACATTCCTACCCTCGATAACTACTAACGTAGTGTACTGCCTTGTTTTGTGTGTCAGCTTGACACAAGATGGAGTTGTTGTGCCAGGGAAATGTTAGTGATCCCCCAAAACACACACAGGAGCCAATCTGACGCAACTCACAGCAGGGTCTTCATTCTATTCGAGCTAGCTCAGTCCCCGCCCCCAGCGCACCACCATCACACAAGACGGTTTGGGTGGTGGGGGAGCCCCGAATGTCAACTGGGCAAAGCTTTATAGTAAGTGGCAAGCAGGAAGTACGTGTACAAGCATCTAATTGGAAAGCTACTGTGGCTTTTAACATAATTGGCTGGGGCTAGGAGTCATAAAGTTAACTTCTGCTCCCCTCCGCATTGGTGGTCCTTGGGCAAGGGGTTGACTTGTAGCCTGGGAGGTGCAGGTTTGTTGGGGGAATAACCTGGAGATACTGATCTTGTTGAGGATGTAACCTGGAAACTCTGGTCTTATTGTGGGAATTAGCCTAGAGACTGGAACTAGGCACAGGTATTCTAGAGGGGCAACTTGGAAACTAATGGTAGGTACCAGTCTGTTAGTTTACCTGAGTTCAAACTTAGGTCAGGTTCTCTAAAATGGAGTCTGAATTTAAAAGCTTTGGCATCTCAGAGTAATCACAGAGAAAGGAGCTTCCCTTGAAGAAATGCCTCCATGAGATCCAGCTGTAAGGCATTTTCTCAATTAGTAATCAAGAGTGGGAGGGCCCATTGTGGGTGGTGCTATTACTGGGCTGATAGTCTTGAGTTCTATAAGAAAGCAAGCTGAGCAAGCCAGTAAGTAACATCCCTCCATGGCCCTGCATCAGCTCCTTCCTGCCCTGTGTGAGTTCCTTTCCTGACTTCCTTTGATGATGAACAGCAATGTGGAAATGTAAGCTGAATAAACCCTTTCCTCCCCCAACTTGCTTCTTGGTCATGATGTGCAGAACTAGAAACCCTGACTAAGACACTCTCCCACTGAGGCCAGACAAGGCAACCCTGTTGGGGAAAAGATTCCATACTCAGGCTACAATCCCCCCACCCCCACCCTGCCACCCTACTCCAGTTGTTGGGGATCGACTTGTTATATAGCCAAGGTCGATCTTGAACCCCTGCTCCTCCTCCCCGTGCCGCATATGCCACCATGCCCACGGTCTGCAGTCTTTTATACTCTTCCAAAATCAAGCCTCGGAAGTCATGAGTTATGTTGTGTATGTTTACTTTACTTAAAATTAAAAGTGAAATTTGTAGATGTTCATTGTAAAATATTAAATTATTATGTCTAGGTAAACAAGTTTTCTTATTTAAAAAAGTACATTTATAAAGCTATCTCATGGCCTTATTTACATTTTTTAAAATTTCTTATATTTTGCCCTTGTAAATGACACCTGGGCTGTCCCTCTGTCTCACTCAGCCCATTGCCATATGTCATTTTGAGTGAGGTTTATGATGAAGATTGATACTCTTACAGAAGTGATTAGAAAAATGAGGTAGTATTTTCAATACTAATTTAGATAAGTAATGTTGTAACTATTCTTTGATCCTCCACCAAAACGCCACAAGCTTCTGAAAGCTTAACTGGAATACAGACTCCAACAGTTCAGCCCTGGGTCTAAATAAAAATATCTGCTTAGGAACAAGAATTAATAAAACCAAGAACATTCTCCAGTAAAACCTTTGGACAAGGGTGATTGCTAGTTACAAAACATGAAGTGACTACCAAAAGACCTTGCATGGCATGGCTCTTAGGATACCAACCCACCATGATGTTTGTGTGCCATCAGTACAATGTTCATTCAGCGGATGGAAAATAGTATTTCCATGAAAATAGCTTTAACCTAGTAGTCTCCGGAACCTCCCAAGGGGCTGTACTCTTAAAACCTGCTGTCTTAAAAAAAGGTTGGGGGAAAAATCATTAATATTTTAACGTTTCCGTTTTTTCTAGAGAACTGAGTATTGAAAATTGGATTATACCTGCAGTTTACGCTGGCCATATTTCTCACGTAATCTGGCTTCATCCAACATGGGCCCAGCAAATCAGAGAGGGCAAACACCACTTCTTAGTAGGCAAAGACATTTCTACCACAACCATCAGGTAATTTCCTCATTGTCAGTGAGTATGGAAGGATTTGAATTTTTTTCATTATACTTTGGGTTCCTGTAGTAACTTCTACTACAGCATCATGGTAAGCCCCAGCCCCTCCAAAAATAGTTCTTAAATCATCAGAAACAGAGTCTTCATTCTGTTGATCTCCTTCATATAGTCCTTGTATCCATTACTAGTTAAATTGTTTTGCTTTGTTTTAAATAACATTTCCTGGAATTTGGATTCCATTGCTGGCTAACTTCATCTAGCCTTTGTAGTACTATATAACCATAGATATGTAGTACTGTATAACCATGGCTGTGTGGTACTGTATGACCATGGCTGTGTGGTACTGTATAACCA